TCGGCTCTCCTTACAGATAATTACACAGCAGTTTTCCTCTGGGCTCTCTAGCGCCACCTAGTTATCAGCAGCAGTTAATCTGCAATCAGCCCAGCCTTCAAATACTGAGCATTTCCTGTGCTCTGAGCCTGTTTATTTGGGTTTGTTCCTGGGTGTACTGTTGCTGGATTGATCACTGAATATTACCGAGACTTTGTCCTGTTTCCTGATAATATTTTTAAAAATTAGAAAAAGTTAGAATAAAAAACATTTTCGGTCTGACATTTCTTTTCATTCCGGTTTCGAAATTGTAATTTCGGTGCACATCTAGTAATTACAGGAGCAGATGTTACATTCAAGACAAATGCAACTTCTGGACACTTATTGTAATAATCTATTAATGTTACAGCAAATCATCAGTTCACAGGTGCCTCTGTGAAAGGACTTACAATATCAATAGCAAATTGAATCAGGAAATGGCACTTGCTGAGTATGTGTGACCGCAGATTTGTAATGGCTCTAACACATGATTACGTGTCAGGTAGCACTTGAGTATCCATGCCTGGTCACCAATATAGTTCAAGTAGTTTTTTCTTTGTTCTTACAATTCCTTGGCGACTCTCATAGTTACATAGTTTGTCAAGTTGAAAAAAAAGACACAAGTCCATCGAGTTCAACTTAAGTTGAATAATGAGCTCTCTTAAGGACTCTGGTAACAGTAAGTGATGAGATTCCCAGACAATATACAGACATGGACAAATTTGTTGATACGCTTCTTTCAGAAAAAGAACCAACCACATTTTTCTCTAAAAAAAAATGAAACTGGCAAAAGTAATTGCCATCCTTCATTGTTTATTCCATTTAATAAAATCAATAATGAAACAACTGAAAATGGAGTGGAATAAACGATGGGACTCTTAACCTAATATTTTGTTGCACAACCTTTAGAGGCAATCACTGCAAACAAGCTCTCAATGAGACTTCTGCACCATGCCAATTCTTCTAGAGCAAACTGCTCCAGCTGTCTCAGTTTGAAGTGTGCCTTCTCCAACTCTTTCCAAAGATGTTGGTCAGGTCACATAGAAGGCTACTTCACAATAATCCAATATTTTGTTCTTAGCCATTCCTGGATGCTTGTAACTGTGTGTTTTGGGTTATTATCCTGTTTGGGGACCCAAGACCTGCGAACGAGACAGAGCTTTCTGACACTGGGCAGTAAGTTTCAGTCCAGAACTTCTTCATAGTCCTGAGATTCCACAGTGCTCTGCACACATTACAGGCACCACGTTTACTTTTAGTCTGTAAATATTATGTTGATGTGACTTGCCAAAAGGTTCCAGTCTTATCTCATATTTCAGTCTAGCGTTTTTATGTTTTTCTTTTAATAGTGGTGTCCTCTTGGGTCACCTTCCTTTGAGTACCTTGACCTTGGAATTCAGCATGTATCTCTTTGAATATTTCCCTTGCTCTTTTTCTACCATTTGCATTGTTATTCTGTTCAATCAATGTACATTTTCCTCTTGTGGCCATGTCCAGAGATTTTGACACTTTCTTGGACCTCAAACTTGTTAATAATATTTGTAATTAATAATAACTGTAGTCAAAAGAACATTAAGCTGCTTGCAGATGCTCTAGTAGCCTTTATCTTTGACAAGCTGGTCTATAAATTTTCTTTCTGATCTCCTCTGATAACTCTCTCCTTTACTTTCTTTGGTGGTTTCACATCTGATTGCACTTACATTTTTTGTACAAAGTTCTTTGCACAGACCACAGAGGTGTTACTGAGTAGTGAGATTGTGATCACTCTCTACGTACTGTTGTTGCGCCAATCTGAAGGCCACACGAAGTTTGGAAGCCTGTAGCTATTGACTCTGCAGACAGTTGGCGACTTCTGTGCACTGTGCTTCAGCATGCGCTGACCCCGCTCTGTCATTTTACGTGGCCTACCACTTCATGGCTGAGTTGCTGTTTTTCCCAGTTGCTTCCACTTTGTTATAATACCACTAACAGTTGGCCGTGGAATATTTAGTAGCAAGGAAATGTAACGGAACACCTGAATCCAACGAATTGGAGGGTTGTCCCAATACTTTTGGCAATATAGTGTGTATATGTATATATATCTATATAGATATATAATGTGTGTGTATATATAAATTTGTTTTTGTTTTTTTCCACGTGGTGGATTTGTATATTTAACATTCACCTGTTTTTGTGGCACATTTGATTGTGTTTAAAGTACACTGTGGATTATTTTTAATGATTCAGTTGAACATAGGGGGATATCAGTTTCAAACTCAAGGTGTGAATCACATTACATACAATTTGTCCAGGGGACAGTACAGAGTGACCTGGAGATTTTTTTTTTTTTAACCTATGACTACAGTTGGAGGATTGTAGTAAGTAATTGATAAATAAATCAATTATATATTGTCTTGAGCAATCTCTCAGAACATTCTTGTAGTCACAGGTAAAAAAAAATAAAAAAATCTCCAGGTCACTTTGCACTGCCCAGGGGGTGTTACCACTATGAAGGCAGGTAAGCCCGTGCACAAGGAAAGCAAAGCATTGCGAGAAAAGGAGTTTTTCCACACCCTACATTGTAGTTTCCACTGTTCACAACAGCCTGTAGTCAACACAGAGCACAAAGGCGGCCATTTCAAAAAAAGCCACGTGGAGTATCTGCATATGCCTGCTTTCTGTACACTTGCAGGGTTATTCACAGGAGGGTGAAGAGTTTGGAGAAGGCAGGAGAAGTGAACAATCTAGGCCAAAATAGCTGATTTGGAAAAACTCTCCAATTCAGCTCACTTTCCAGTTCAGCTATGTTGTCCTAGATTGTTCACTTCTTCTGTCTTCTCCAAACTCTTCACCCTTTTGTGAATAACCTTGATGGTGTACATTGGTGGCATATGCTTTTTTTAAATGCCTCGGCAAAAGTGGAAATGGGCTTTAAAGACACAGACCAAGTAAAATAAAAAGGAGGAAAAACACCCAACCTTATAAACATTAGGTAAATATAAATATATTTTTCTCACGACTTCTTGGCCTGGTCCCCAACATAACAACAGGAATCCCAGGTAATACCGGCCTGAACATTAAAGGATGAAAACAGGATCACCGCAGGACGAAGCATTCGTACTGAGACCAGAAACGACCTGCTTCATGACAACTAGAGAAACTTTCATTTCCACTTCTGGTATGACTCTCTCAGTTTTGTCGGCTAGCTAGAAAAACTCTCAAGATTTAATAATATCCAGTATGAATCAACTAGCAGCTCTTGGTAGTAGAATCTTCAACAAATAAACTAAAATAATAAACCAGAAGAGAAGGAGACATCCATGCTCCTGTCCTGGGGACACTAAGCGAAAATGGCAGGTGTGAGGGGTGAAGTGAAAGGCTTTGAGTTATTTTGCCTAGTGTCCAGTTTTCCTGGAGGCAGCAGCATAACCCTACATCTCAGAGTTCTTCAGAGATGTGTCCCTCAATAGACAATAGAGAAATAACACCTTAAAATATTCAGCTAATAAATGCATCACAACATAAAAGATAATCAGTAATACAATATAATTTTTTGGGGCCTCTTCCTCCCGAATTACCCACCCTGTCCTGTCATGGCTATTAACAAATTATTTTCAAGCAGAATGTAGCACTTTACACAAAGTTCCCATCTGAAGCAATGGAAAAGTGAAGGGTGGAGCTGGCCCTTTTTGCTTCAACATTTGAACCCTGGAACAGAAATGTTAGATACTGCAGCTTTCTAGTTCATACATGTGGTGTCTTCATTATTTTAGTTTGTATACCTTTATTTCCACTTGGTGTTCCTGCCAGTAACACACTACCTGCCCTAGGGTGACAATGTTCACTTATTAAACTGTATCCATGCAGCAGCATTGTGTCACCCCAGGTTGCTCTCCTGACTTGGTCTACAGAATACCTCCCCTTTTCCTAATTTTCATAAACATAGGAGGGAGGTGTTTTGCAGTTCACAGAAGTAACCTGGCCAGAGCTAATAAGATCCCTTGAGATTTCAGTGCATGACGAGGCATAGCTGGGGGGGAGAGAGAATAAGGGGATCCAAACTCCCCCTCCCCAGAGTTTTCACAGTCCTCACAAGCCTCTCTACTGTAAACACGTACATAAATGGCACAGTGCAGCAGTCAAGGGGTATGTAAGTGCTGTGCTGTATACTGCCTCATCCTGTACGCTGTGTTGTACTTTGACTATTCCACACCACCTCACTCTGTACACCAATGCTGTACATGACCTATTCTACACCTCCTCATTCTGTACACCATACTGCACTTTACCTCTTCCACACCACCTCATGCTATATGCCATGCTGAACATTCCATATTCCACAGTGCCTCATCCTCTATGTTGTGCTGAGCTTATTCCACACCATTCCATTATAAACGATTTGCTGTGTTTACATATCTGCAAGTCTCAGTGTTTTAAATTCAGAGGCAGGGGAGAGAATCCAATGGCAGTGTGTTTGAAGGAAGAGTCCCTCAATACATGATGCTCCTAAATTCCTGTGTCCAGCAATGGACAGTTAATAAAACAACTTTTAATGACACCCTGTCATTGCGGCAGGAAGTAAGGAAAACAAAGGAAGCAATAACAACCTGACAGATAATCTAATCCCTACTCATTTTACCCAAAATTGAACAAAAACAAGTTGGCTGGATTTGGGCTTCAAGCTTACATTGTGGTACCACTTCCCTGATGTTGTTGTGAATGCTGAATTGAAAGGGCTTAGAGAGAGGCAGAGAGGCAGCATGTATTTGGCTCTGATTAACTGAAGGGGTAGGACGCATTTGAGGAAAATTGAACATGCAGCCTGAAAGAGGAGATGTCACTGTCTTGACACTAAAGTAAGGTAAGTTACATCTGAATACTTTTTACTGGGTTAGTGTGCAGCAATATGGCTTAGTTTAACTAGACATACTGCTTAAAATGCCCCCCCCCCCCCCTCCTTTTTTAAACAAATAATTAAACTACATTGCTGTGCCAATGCATACCTTCATGGGCTTTCTAGATGTAGTAGTCAAGGTTCAAGTAGCAGTCGGGCCAGTTTCTCAATTTCTTCCCTCTGCTGGTAGATGTAGATTTGTGTATCCCACAGCATGTTAACTAACACTGCATCACTAACCTCATCCAGCATCACATCTGTTTGCAGCTGTGGACTCAATCTGTATTAGAAAAAAAAATGAAATTGCGAAAACATTGTTAAGGAGATATACAGTATATCTAGATATACACAACGTTCGGTGCTGGTAGGAAAAAATAACTTTACATGTTGATTTCAGTTTCCCTGTAGTAAATAGGTGAAAAATATGTTTTTTTTATTATGAAAGTAATTCTCGTTTGCACCAAAAACTAAATATGTAATATACAGCAGCTTACCAATCCTAAAAATGTGGTGGCTGCATTAGTTTTGGGGTTTTCTTCAAGCTTATTTTTCTTTATTTTCACGTGGTAATTCTGCAAATAACACACTTCATGTCCTAGGGTGGCTACCCTCACTCACTCCACTGTGTATATGGAGGGAGACATGGCTGTCTCCCAGGCTGGACTTCAACCATGACATGAAGGGATGGTGGGTTTGTAGTTTACACAAGTAACATTATGTTTTAAATTTAGCTCACAGGAAGTGAAAAGACACTGCATTTGAAGTAAAAGTAAACAGATATTTTCTGTACTTGCCCGGAAAGGCTGTTAGCCTGAAAATACATCTAATGTAGCTACCACATCTGATAGACACAGTGGAGTGAGTGAGGGTAGCCACCCTAGGACAGGAAGCTGAAATAGGATTTTATTTGCAAAAGTGTGTACAGAGGACCAGGTGGCTGCCTTGCGGATTTGTGAAACCAAAGTCTACCACTTCTAGTAGAGTGAGCCCTAACTGGAAATGGGGGAAAATTTGCCCATTAACTCATAGGCCTCAGTTCGTCGATGTCACCTGGCAATACTGGAATGAGAAGCTGGCTGCCCTATATGGCGACTCTCAGGATAGATGAAGAGGGAGCCAGGCTTGGGGATGGAAGTTGTAGAAGAGAGGTAAATCCGAACAGCTCAAACCACGTCTAAAAAAGTGTAGGGAAAGTTCTTTAGGATGTTTTAGTGCAGGACAGAAGGATGGTAAAACAATATTCTGGTTACAGTGGAAGACGAAGACCACCTTAGGAAGAAAGGAGGCCTTAGGCATCAGTATGGATTAACGATCTTGAGATCGAGAATAGTGCGGACCTAACCCCCCTGTGATTTGGTAACAGACTGGAGTAAAACCCCTGGAACTCTTTTGCATCCAGCATAGGGACTATGAGCCTCTGGGACAAGAGCTCACCTAGGGCAGCAGGATATCTGACTATCTTTTGACGAGATCTTGGCAAGTTTGACAACAGAAAACAAGGTGGAGGCAAGGAACAAAACTTCAACTTGTTATCCTTGGTTACGAACCTATGGACCCAGGCTTAGGGAATATCCTGGAGCCTTGTGGCCGAGAAGGTCAATAGGCATCTCCCTATTTGGGAAAGTGGGGCCGCCCCATCAAAAAGAACGTCACCCAATAAAGGACATGCGTTCAAGGTGCTTGTCCAGAATAGGCACAATCCCTCACTTACCACCCTCAGAGCAGCGGCTAACTTGGAAACGCTGTTCATTTAAAGGGGGCATGCCACACCCAGTCCTCGCCCTCCTGGTGGACATAACCCCTGAAGATGGTCTGCAGGGACACCACAATGGACCACAGCCTTAGACATGTAAAGCACCCTGCAGCAACTACAGATGCTGTACAAAGTGCCAGGCAGAGTAGAGCAAACAGTAGAGGCTCTGATCCCCTGCTTTGAAGTCAGACAGAGCTGCACTGCTCCTCCCACCCCACTGTATAACTCTTGGTGACACCTCCACAACTGACAGCGTGGGCAGCTTACTCCCCCCCTCGTCCCTCCATTCATTCACATATGTCGGAAACACAGCAACCATAGGTATGTATGTTTACACCTGAGCACATGTGGGTGTTTTATGTTTGTTTTTTTTCCTTTTGTTTTTTAGCATGTTATTACAGATTATTGCATGATTTTTTTTTACAGGGATTTACCGATAGCAGTATCGGTTTTGGTGCCGATACTGGGCATTTACAGGAGTATGCATACTTGTGAAAATGCCCTAATACTAAGCGCCAAAACTGACAATTTTTTATTATTCAGCTGGCGTAAGGTCCTTCACTTGCTGGAACCTCGTGGCGCCTGTCTATTTACAGTGCATCCTCCTTTTCTTCCTTCCCACCTCCTTCACCACCCACACCCACACCCAACTGCACAGCCCTGGTAAGACCACCCACAGCACTGGTGAGATTGCGCCCAACCCTGCTGAGACCACCCACAGCACTAGCGAGACCGCGCACGGCTCTGGCGACACCGCGCACGGCACTGGTGAGACAGTGCACAGCACTGGTGATACCGTGCATAGCTCTGGTGAGACTGCACACAGCACTGGCGGGACTGCCCACACCACTTGCGAGACCGCACGCAGCCCGGGTGAGACGGTACGCAGCCCTGGGAAGACCGCATACAGCCCTGGTGAGACCCAGCAAAGCCCTGGAAAAACCGTACACAGATCTGGTGAGACCCTGCACAGCCCTGGTGAGATTGCGCACAGTTCTGGTGAGACCGTGAACAGCAATGGTGAGACCCCACACATCCACTTGAGACCCCACACAGCCCTGGTCAAACAACGCACAGCCTCCTGGGACCCTGCACAGCCCTGGTGAGACCCCACACAGCCCTGGTGAGCTACACAGAGTATGTAGCTTTATATTCTGCATTGCTGTACAATGTATTGCTGTAATTTGTAGTCCTCTATAGCTGATGGTATTCCGCATTGCTGTACAATGTATTTCTGGGATTTGTAGTCCTCTATAGCTGATGGTACTCTGCATTGTTGTATATTGTATTGCTGGGATTTGTAGTCCTCTGTTGCTGGTGGCATTCTGCATTGCTGTATATTGTATTGCTGGGATTTGTAGTCCTCTATAACTGGTGGTATTCTCTACTGCTGTACAATATAATGCTGAGATTTGAAGTTAGTGGCAGAACTACCGGGGGTTGCAGAAGTTGCAGTTGCGACCAGGCCCTGGCACTCCACCACTGTCCTAAAATCGTATTGTATTGTTTTAGAAAAACTGTCACATGACACTAAAAAAGGTAATGACAAGCAGTGGGCCTTGGCAGGCAAGGAGGCCCAAGAAAATGTTTGCCCTGAGTCCAGTCAATATTAAAGACGGCACTGGGCCCATCACCAACTCCCCTCTGCCCTTTCACTCACTTTGTGGTTTAACAGTGGCGGCTGGGTGGAGCCTGCCTCGAGCTGCTCAACGATTGCTTCAGCTCCCTTGTTCAAGGTTCCTGGTTTAGCATGCCCCGATCTGGGTGAGAAGTGCTAGGAGATGATGGAGCAGTAGGTACTATGGTTCCTTTGTTATAATAGGCCACTTGTAGAAACAAACCTCTCATTTCTGTAAGTACCAAGAACCACTGGAACACAGGAGAGCAGTAGTATGCAAAATGATTGATGCTTCTGCCTCCCCCCATGGCACATCCCACAGTGCAATGCAGGACCTCAGCATCCCATTGAAAGGTGCCTTAATAATATTATTATGATGTTGATGGTTTTCCTCAACACTGCTATTACTAACATGTGGTAGTTACATACTGCAGGGTATCCAACAGCTGTAGTTTTAGAAGTTAAGGGTTAAAACCCAACTATACCTTCTGGGCCTAACCCCCATCCCAAGTTCTTTCCTTCCCTTCAAGTTCAAAAAAGTTTTTTTTAAAAAGTACTACTTAGCCTCTCCACATCCTTTGCTGGTCATTGGTCCTTTTCCAAGTTGAAATATGTCAGCATCATTTGATGACTTCTTGTTCCTGTTCTATGGAGCATTGAGGACCACCAGAGGTGGACTGACCATTTGGGCACTGCCTGAGGGCCCAAGGCCAGGAAGGGGCACGTCATGACCCCCCACTGGCCTGCCACCCCACTCTCGCGCCTTGACTTATTTATTACTGAGCTCTGTGTTGTTTACTACTAAGTGCTGCATTATTTACAATTGTATTGGTGCTGGTCTGAGATCTGCCGTGCATTGGTGCTGGTCTGCAGCCTGTCATGCATTGGTGCTGGTCATGGGCTGACTGACCTTTTCCGGCAGACTGATTATTCGGGGAGCTAAACGCACACACTGGAGCGGGGTGGGGATGGATGTTTGCATACCGTTTATGCGGTGTGCGCCCACCCCCCGCTCTAGTCCTAGATTATTCCGTTCCCCTGTCACTTTCCTACTAATTCTCCTGAAATTCACCCAGGATAATTGGCAGGATTGAAGAATTTAGGTCGAATTAGCCAAAGCAAAAAAAATTCTGCCATTTCTCATTTTCCAAATCGCTTACATTATTCTAGATTTTGATATTCTCCTATCAATTCCCTGCAATTCACCTTTTAGTGAATAGGCCTGCTATTTAAAAAAAAGGGTGAAGAAATAATTACTGTAACACATGAATATATATGTGGGTGGCGCTTGTGGATGGGTGGGGCTTGTATATGGGCGGAGCACAAAGGGGCCCCACAATCTCGTATTGCCCGGGAGCCCCATGTGTTGTCAGTCCGCCCCTGCTCCTGCTGTTAGGTGCCGCAGTGGCTATGAGCAGCATTAGGGAAAACTTTCTAGAAGAATCTCCAATAGAAATAGGAGGAAGGATGTACTTCTCTCAGAGCAGAGAAAAGGTGTCCATCACCTAAGGACACTAGAAAAAAACTGAGGCAAGCTATGAGTGGAGGGTTATACAGTGCTGTCTTTCATAATTGATTGATTGCCAGTGTTCACTTACTCAAATGTAGCTGCATAAATCATCCATTAAACAATAAGCTCCGTGTATACTGTGATGTACAATCAAGAAATATTAAATTCCTGTTATTGGGTTTAACCCTCAGGTGTAAGTAGTAGCTTAGAGAAGAAAACAGCAATTTCATTTGGATCTGTCTACAGCCACCGTTTGCATTAAAGCTACAAATAGATATCATGCAACTGTCAGAGTTTACCACCTAATATTTATTGTACCTTACAGAAAATCTATGTCCTATTTTAAGCAGTTCAAACTAACAATACAAGTCACATGCAGACACCTAGAGATGCCCCCACAGCAGCTTTCAGCTACATAGTCAGAGAATGGCCTCTGCATCCCTCAGTGCAATGCATCATGCCGTCTAACCAACAGGCATCATAATTACTTATAATAATCTAAAATGTGCTTGCTCAGCTCTCTATGACTCTTTTGAAACTTCTCCCTCAAAGAGCAACACACACAGACTACGGGATGCTCACCTGAAATAATGGACATCTATCATTTCACACCACGCTCGAGCTTTATTGACAGCTGGACCATCTGAATCTGTACACTGGCAGAACAGCAGGAAACAAATTGTTTTTTAATGTTATTTGTTAATTCATTATGCTGAGAACATATGAAAACAGAAATTTCTACAGCAAATTATTTGTTCTTTAACAAGCTGCTCTCATTTTAGTATAACATGTTTAGTCCCCATATACTTAAAAGCACCACTATACTCCAGACCTGGAGTACAACGGACTGCACACTGCACCCTAGTGGCTTTGTCACTAGAAGAGCATTGATTTGTCCAAAAAAGATAGAAAATGTGTTTTTACACCTTTATTACTATTTAATAATAATAGCACATTTACAAAAACCTAAGCTATTGTGTGGGTCTCCGGACATGTCAGGGTCTGCACTTAAGGCCACCTATGTTAGACCACACCTGGCCTAAGGGAACGAGTGCTGGAGTATGGGCTCCATGTCTTACCTGAAAGTATCTGTGTTAGTCAGTTATTGTGTGACTTTGGAGCCCCATGGATCCCTGACTGAGGCTGTAAACCGGGCCTTGTATGTTCTGTAGGCCAACATTAAACCCTACACCATCTTCGCAGTAATCGCTTGGAGAAGTTGAGGCCCTATGTAGAGCATGGACTTAAAACTCAAACGACTCAACAAGGACACAGGAAAATTAAGAGAAGTGCCTTCATTTTAGCACTATTACCGCCAGCTTTTTTTGGTTCACTTTAGCAAAGAATAAAGCAATGCAGTAAACCACAACAACAAATCAAAAGCTATTGGTCTGACTACACTAATTCATCTGGTTGGTTGCTATGAATAAAACTGTAAATATTTATTAAATCCATAAGCACAACATAATAATATTTACTTTTTCAAGAGTATAAATCAAATACAATAGAAAGGCACTAAGTGATTGATACATACACAATCCACCACCATCTTGCCTAGTTCTCTTGCTCCAACCACAGTCTTCATTACCTCCCAAGGGTTAGATGGTCTGAACACGTCAACAGAGCTGACCTGAATTTGGGGAGGCTTCCCAGTGCCCAGTGAAACCACCGCACCTAATTTCTTAATCTGTGCACTTTTACCCTGCAAAGAAGAAAGAAAAGAGGGATATGAAATTCTTCTTTTTATATTTTAGAAGGCTATAACATGACGGATTTCCTTTTTAAACATTTCCTGAATACAAGGCCAAGATGCCACATACAATATATTAAACTTGATTCATGTACCTCATTTGATATATTTCTCAACAGTCAAAACAAGCTAGACTGGATACAATTAGCAATGTCACAATGCTTGATGCAGTAAGCCTAGTGGCTAAAGCTCTAAAAGAAGTCTTTGTTTAAATGCACCTGTTACTCTAATCTAGTAGAAAGGCGTTCTCACCTGACGCTTCAAGCATGTGTTGTAGTCATGGATCTCAGCCATGGCATCTAGGGTGGGATTATTGGAAAGCAACCCACCATCCAGGAAACGGCCCATAGGACGAAAGTATGTTGGAGCAGCACCACTGGAACGAGCCGCACGCCACACCAGTTGCTCTTTAAGCAGAATAGAAAAGGGAGAAAGAAGGAAAACAAGACATACAAAAAAGAAAGAATCACAGAAAGAAAGAGAGACAACCCATAGTATTATTAGTACACGGGAACATTTAGATATATTTCATATTAAGCAAGCACTGCACTAGAAACTAATGGTCTATAGAAGTCTATCTGGTCTCTATATGGTCTATCTGAGAACTGGAAGCTAATTAGTGGAATTGGGTTGAATGTGGCAAGTCTAGATCTAAAGCGACATTAGAAGAGCATTCTGCATCTGGCATATGTCCAAGCAGTGTAACAATAGAGTGAAGCTAGAGGGACACTCTAGTCATACCTTCCCAGGACAGCTCTAAGCTCCCATCTCCCTCAACCTCTTCACCTGCAGGTGATAAGTAAATATATTGATGCAAAACACAAAGGTCTTTACATGATGGTTTAAGGAGCAATCATGGATCCTAACAAGCATTTTATATTTATTGCTTTTCACAGATTTTTAAGTTAAAGCATATCTAAATCCCAAAATTAAAATGTAGTATATTGCAGCTTACCAGTTGTTAGATGTGGTGACTGCATTAGTTTTCTTTTTTTAGGCTTGTTCCCTTTATTTTAACTTGGTAATCCTGTGAATAACACGCCATCTGGGTGGCTACGTTCACTCTACTTTATCTATAGAGGGAGTCATGGTTGCCACTCAGGCTGGACTTCAAACAGCTCTGTCTCTATTAATCTTCATTTCATAGGGGTGATTAGCTTAAGCTGGCCATATACTATGCAAATTTCCTCCTTCGTCATCTCTATGCTTGTTCCAGGTGAGTGACTCAAGAGGTAATTCAATGAATCATCAGCATGACAGCCATGAGCTGGCATTTTCCGAAGGAGAGGTCAGCAGTAGCAGACTGCTCTTATGGAATGTGTACTTTATGCAGCATTTGCCAAAGTAAAATGGAGACACCATCAATTCAGTGGAGGCAGCAGACTACCAAGTTTATTAATTAAACTAATGTTTCCATTCCAAGAACAATGAACCTCACAATTCCCTATTCCAGAAGGAACTTCTCATTTATATACCAAGACCACAGAAACTAGGATGCACCAATACCGATACTATTATGGGTATCGGTGCCAATACCGAGTATTTGGGCGAGTGCTCGCCCAAATGCCCCCGATGCTTATCAAGATGCCGGAAGGTGAATCAGTACACGCCGCCCGGCTTTCAGATTGGCCGGGAAGCCGGCTCCATGCACTTGGTGACAAGGGAGCGTGGAGCCAGCTGCCCGGCCAATCACTCTCCACCTGGCTTACTGATTGGTCAGGTAGCCGGGCGGCGAGTCATTATCCGCTTCCCAGCTTCCTGATTGGCCAGAAAGCCGGCTCCATGCTTTCTCCTCACCTGGTGACGAGGGAGCATTAAGATGGCTTCCCGGCTAGTCAGGAAGCAGGGCCGCGAGTCGTTACACGCCTCCCGACATACTTAAAAGGAATTCGGTATCAGTATTCGGTGTTGGCGAGTACCGGAAAAAAAAATACTTGTACTCTATACCGAAAAAACGATATCGGTGGATCCCTAACAGAAAAAGAGACACACACACAAAGAATAAAGACTTTTGTTGGCAAAAGCCTGTCAATTTCAGTATTTCTTTTTGTTCATTGAAGGAGACAAGACTTGAACCAATATGCATAGAGTGCAGCTAACTGCTTTTCTAGGAACTCGTTTTCTATTTCCATCACTGACATTAACACTTTGTAAGTGATAGATTTGAAGAAACATAAATCATTTAGTAGGTTTCCACTGCACCAAATCATATGTCAAAATAAATGATTTAAGTAGTTTACCTAAATGTCACCACTGCTAGTTTACTGTATCAGAATCAATACAAACAAATGTATATAATGAGGAAAAAAGGAGAAAGATAAAACACAGAAAAATGACGTCCAAACTCTCACTAGCTGCTGTTGCCAAAACCCAGTCATTTACCTTTTTCATATTGCTTTATTTAAGCAACTTAGCCATATAACTTTCCAGAATTACTAGGCCTAATAAAACAGTGTATGGTACTTCCCATGCAATCCCATGTAAGGGGCAGTGGAGAACCGTAGAAGTTAAAAAGGAAACTGAGTATGTACCAGGCCCACATCTTTAAAAAAAGAATAAAAGGAATTTTAATGGTGTCATTTTTAGCTTCCACAGAGACCTGAATGGAAGAGTACAAAGAAAAAGCAAGGAAACGGTGTACTAACCTGAGTTTCCATTAACAGCTAGCACATAGAGCATTTATGCCCCCCCTCAAAATAAAACCTACAACTGAAAAAAAAATGTGCAAAATCTTTATAAACAACTGCAGCACTAACAAAGACAACACAAGTCCACTTAATGTTCTTGTTTTGCAAACTTATGAAGGTTTTATTATCTATACTGTTCAATATACATTTTGCTTTAAAGCAGAACTCCACGCAAAAGTGTTCTTAATCCTTACAGTGGGACTACCACTCACTGCAAGGGTTAAGTGCTAATTTTTGTCTAAGTGCTAAAAAAAGTTATACTCACCTTATCCTCGGAGCCGCCTTGCTCTTAGACCGGTCCCTGGAGCCTCACTCCCCCTCCACTGCAGCTGTCGAAGGTTCCATGAGTCATCATGTTCTATACACAATGTATAGGACGTGAGGACGTCGAGGGACATACCATCGCTGCAGCGAAAAGGGGGCTTCAGGGACCAGAGTAACCGCTAGCCGGCTCCACTGTTCGAATGAGTATAACTTTTCTTTTTAGCACCTACACAAAAACGAGCACTTAAACCTTTCAGTGCGGGGGTAACCCTACTGAAAGGGTAAAGAATACTTTTGTCTGGAGTTCTGCTTTAACTTTAACACGTGATTCAGCTACATGATTAATAAGGATGAAAACACACTGATCTTCATCAAGTATTGCCTCTCTCACCACTCTTACAGTTTTGTTACACCGAAAGATGAAAAATGAATGTTAGTATTGTAAAAAAAAGTGTATACATGAGACTTGTGTGGGTTTACCTTCTGGCCTCGTCACAGGACGGAAAGTGGCAACACTCTTGAATGTTGGATCTCGGCCAGTTTCGGGTGGAACATAGTTTCGGAACAGATGCAGCTCAGCTGGATGCCTATCTGACATTGTACTAGTTACCATGACCCTGCAGAGAAACATAAACAGCAAACTAAAGTGATTGTGTTGGCGTAACATGAATCTGAAAGTGAGGCAAAGTAGGGCATGCTCATGCTCCTTGTTCCGACAGGAATCAGAAATCTGAGGGTGCACTGTTTTACCCATTCCTTCATGTTCCTATTGCCAAGCTACAGTATACAGCAAGTAATTTGGGGAGTGCTTATTGTGCCCATCCACATAGTACACACTTCAGCCTAGCAACTGAAGTTCTATCTTCTGCTAGGCTATGCCAGGCTACACTGGGGCCAGGGAGCTGTACCTTGGATAGGCTTAAAATGCTTGGTGGTGCCTGAGCAGCCAACTGTCAAGCCCAAGCACTGTCACATGGGGGTGAGAGTGCCCATCCATATGCAAATACTGACTTTCAGAAGATAGTTACATAGTTAGTCAGGTTGAAAAAAGACATATGTCCATCCAGTTCAACCTATAGAGATATGAAAAAAAAAAGCCTAAACAGAACACTATGCCCACAATTACCCCCTGTTGATCCAGAGGAAGGCCAAAAAAAAAACCCCTATAAAGCATGGTTCCATTTGCTCCAACAGGGGGGCAAAAATTCCTTCCTGATCCCATAAGGCAATCGGATATTCCCTGGATCAACAATGTCTGATGCTTAAAGTGACATTAAACCCTCGGATTTTTTAACATAAACCAATACTGTAATGTGTGCCTTACTGTAATCCATGGTTGTTTCCCTTCTCTTTGCTGCTCTTCCTTTTAAATCCGTATCTCTTCTCAAACATTTTCTGATTCTGGTATGGAACTTCTCCACATTTGGCCACCATTAACTCGATCCAGTCAGCAGGTTGGTAATCTTGGGAACAATAGATCTTCACAAGAAAGAGGTAGAGATGAATCCGTAAGTAGTAGAGTAGGTTCCCTGGCTGTGCAGTTTGACCGAGGTGTATAGATTACAAGAATGGCTTATTCAATATTACAAATCATTTGGCAGGTGAAATAGTACACCTTATGTACATGCATTTTAACTGGGTATTTAGCCATTTGCCTGGAGTTCCAAAAATGTGCAAGCCAATATACACACTGAGTGCAACAGTTATCACTGAAAGAACCTTCTTCACCATACTGATGGGCAACTTTGCTTCCCCTTCCTCTAACACCAGTGTCACTTTTCATTTGCTTCTGCTTTAGAGATTGCCAGTCCTGCTTTCAGTGACCATTCCATGCATGCACAAAAAAAGGCAGGCGATTTAAGAATGGGTCTGCACCAATAATCTAATGGGTATCCTGCGATAATCTCTGAATGCTGGGGAAGTAATTCATTAGATCACCTATCACTGGGACTAAAGTGCTGCTTTCTCAGGAATAAACTGGTGCTCATGAATTCTCTTCTCAATCATATGAACTCTGCCAAGGCACTGATCATGTGAACACATCCAGAGGGTCCAAGGAGATTATTATTTAAGCATTTAATAAGAGGCTCTGTTTGAACATGGATTCACCTCTTTTTCAGTGACCCTGGTATGGTCATGTGCCATACATAGAAAAGGCTGTTGACTATAATTTTCAGGAACCTTAAGTATTTCACTGTTTACTCCATTGTAAGAGTTTCATGCAGTTTTATTCTGGAGGGTAGGGCGGTGTTGGTACCTAGACAAAACATCCTCCCTCTCATTTCGCTAACCACCAGGTCTCATGAATGAGCCAAGTAGAGGGCTCCTGCAAAGAGACTTTGTATTTCACATGACCATTTTTTTTTACTTGTGGACTGGTCTAGGTTTACTGTACAGGCTAACTAGTGTTATTGATAGGTTTGCTAAATTTAAGAAACCGTCGATGTCTGCGGTAAAAACAACTGTGGTAACAAGAATAAAAGACATTAACATGAAAAACAGCACAGCTTGCAAACCATGGATTGCTCTGGGATTTAATTTGTAATACACCATTATTGCTAAATAATGTGTTCATGCAGAGGCGTAACTGGAACCTTCAGGGCCCCGGTGCAAGAAACCATAAAGGCCCCCCCCAACCGCCATGGCACTGCATGGTTAACAGGAAGGCTGCCGAGGTCCCCAGCAAGCGCAGGGCCTCGGGCAGCCGCTTGTTTAAAATTTTAGTGCGGTGTTCTGTCGAGAACGCTGACCCAGTATCTGCGCTTACGTAAAGATGGGATTACCGAGGAAACCGCCATTTATTTACAAAGTATTCGTTTGTAATTGTTAATTGTGACTGTTAGTAATATACCGTCCATGGCAGTGATGGGTGGCAGTGAATGATGGAAGGAATAATATTAACAGTCACAATTAACAATTTAAACAAGATACTTTGTGAATAAATCCTGGTTTCCTCGATAACAGTGGTCTGTGCAAGCGCAGATGCTGAGGTCGGCAAATTCGACTACATCGGCGTTCTCGACAGAACAGCGGTATCTGCGTTTAGTATCAGGGCATTTTCACAAGTATAAGTACTCGTGAAAATGCCCAGTATTAACACTTGTGTATCCCTACTTAAAAATATAATGCATTGCTGGGACTTGTAGTCCTACATAGTTGGTGCAGTTATGCGGGACTACAAGTCCCAGCAATATATTATAATAGAAGTCAGCACTACAGAATCCCACCGTCCTTCTTGAGCAGGGCCCTCTTCCTCGTCTCCTCTCTCCCCGGTCAGGGGGCGCGGCTAAGAGGGTCGAGTCCTCACACAGCAGAATGTGCTGCCAGGCGGTGCCTGCAGCATATTCTCCTGCCGCAACAGCTGCCCGTACACGATGCGGGCGGCTGTGCGGCAGGAAAGGAGCGGCACTCTCTGGGGGGGCTCTTCTTCCTCGCTAGCCCCCCCCCCAAGTGGCAGAACACCAGGGCCCGGTCGTGCGACCGCTGCGACCCTGGTAGTTCCGCCAGTGTGTTCATGTGTATCCACCCTCTCAATGCTCTCCCAGTAGGCAAAAGACACTGAAATGAAAGGAGCAGTGCAATTGAAACACTCCATAAAACACGCTGGCTGACAAATGCACAAGTGTTTGCTTATCTTGTTGCGGTTACATCGTTCTGCCTTGAAGAAGGGACCCTGCGCGGCCCTGAAACGTCGGCTTTGTTGATCATTGTGACATAATCGTCCATTAAAAAGGACGCATCTATTTAAATTATTTTGAGTGCTGGTGACCTGTCTTTCTACTGATCTTGTTGGGGGGATTTGACAAGTGTTGAAAAGTTATAACAACTACAAGCTTATCACACCCACATCAACATAACCTTGGAGATGAGATGCATTTCATTCCATCTAATTGACACCTCGTTTCCACTGTGTGAATGAAAAACTTCTGTTAAGACATACATATACAGAAACACACAAAGGCTTCTTGGTCCTGGGAAATGGATTTAAATGCATCATAATAATAATAAAAAAACAAAATTTGAAATGCTTAACTTTAGTATGTGTTCAAACACACTGGCCTCATCTATATCACAAATTCTTTTAAGGTACAATCATTTTGAAGATGGCAACTAGGTCATTGCACATGTGGTTTCAGCAATGGTTGTCTTTTGCCACTCTAGGAACATGTGTAAAGTTAATTGACACTATCTGTACAACAAATCATGTATAGTGCCCTCTATGTGACAGGATATTTGACATGACAGGTCCTCTTTAAGGTGATATCAGGGGTCTATTAAACCCCTAAAGTCACCTCTGGACACCACTGAAGCTGATCAAGAACAGATTAATCTAAAAACCGACAGTCTGCTTGTAAGATGTAAACCTTTGCTGAGAGCCATTGTTTGTAAATGTTGCTGGTAGAAAAGTGATTAACAAAAGGTAATTTCATTCATTGCAAGTAAAAAGTGGAACATCCAGAGATGCAGGACATAAGCATTCATTTTATAATTTTTAAGGTTATATAGTTTTATAATTATGTTTTAACAACTTGCCGTTCACCCATTGTAAATACAGGTTCTGACGGCAGGCGCTTCCTGGTGGGTGGACGTGTATTTATGTGATTTATTTTTTTCTGCTCACGTGCTAGATAGCCCGTGCAAGCAAAACAAATAATATCCCTAAAAATTATATTAACAGCCGGTAACGACTGTGACATACAAGCGTTTGGGCCGCTCTATAGCGGACCGATCGCTTGTATAATGACAATGTGCATCCTCCATGCGAAAACAATGATTACGCCATACATGTTACATATCACCGTGAACGTCAGAGTGCAAGCAATAATTTTAGGGCCCTTAACCTCCTTGGCGGTCTGATTATGTCAGTATTTTTTCTTTTCTATTTTTAACTTTTAAATTTCCCGCCGGTTGTGCCCCCTGCGTCGCACAACCGTCGGTACAGCATTGCATGACGGAATAAATGTCAGTCAAAGTACCGCAGCGCTAAATACTGAAAAATGGCCTGGCCAGGAAGGGGGTTTAACACCCTGGTCATCAAGTGGTTAAAGCAAGTCCAGTTAGCCTCTGCGTTCTTTGTTATAAATAGTTGCTCCCATTTGATATCATGCATTAAGGATTGCAGCTTGTTGAAGCTAGCCTGTTTGAAGTTTAATGTTCTTTTCAAACCAACCTGCCTTTCTTTTCTGTAATCTACTGTGAGCGTGATCGCCCTATGATCATAGCAGAAGTAACTTTGATCTCGTTCAATTACTAGTTTTTTGTTGAAATTTCTTGGGTTCCATCTTCCATCTTATCCCCTCCTAGTTATGCTCTGGAGTGGAAGTATTTATTTTAGCTTCTAATGCGATTTTACTGCACATGCTCAATTACGTACAAGCCACAAGCCCTGTAATTATCACACATGTTTTTATCCCTTAAACCCTAGGCCCTCACTAGGGATTTCTGAGTGCGGATCATTAGATAATCATAGTCATGTTCTGAGTCTTTTGACCTTCTTGTATTTTTATTTTGTTTTCATTATCGTCTTTACCCTAACCTTGTATTGCCTACTGTATGCTTTGTTATTTTTCTTTTAAACTCTTTTGTGAAAGAAATGTAACCTTGACCCATCCAGCTCTGTTGACAACAGTATTTCTGCAACGTGTGCTATATGGAGAGTAATAAAAGACCAGAACGCCACCTGCTGGCTGGATAAAAGATCATCATCATGTTAACATGCAATACTCTTACTTTCTTTTTCTAGTCCCTCATATAATAAATAGGGAAAACATAAACATAACTACCAATCACCTTTGATGTAGAAGTCAGGAAACAAGGGAAGAGCAGACATATATAAGTTTAGCATGCATGCAGCAAATTGGAAAACTTACTTAGGGTACATCACATCTGTCATCTTAGTTTGTTCTCCAAATTCCTTTTTAAGAAATTCCTCCAGAGGGGCAGACTCATATGGGCGTGAACCACAGAAAACTTCATTTTTCATGCGGAAGTATAAACAGCGGAGGTATTCCATGGGCTTTCCTGTCAGGACACAACATTGAATATTCAATCAGAAATACCCAATAAACAGCAGGAAATTCCAAACAGGTTAAACGGGGGGCTCAAATCCAGCCACCATTTAAAAAGAACCTGTGAAAACGGAAATAAGAAAGCTGCCATTGCTGGCTTGCAGGCTCTAAGGTGGTCATCTTTTTACTTTCCTGTCCTGATTAGAATTACTAATGTTTTTTTTTACTGCTATTTGGAGCTCTGTTAGACTGTTTCCCCTGTGACAACAGTTTCACCTGGCCTCTACTCTACTTTTTTTAAGGAATTTTTATTTGTGTCTGTGTTGCTGCTAGAGATTTTCCCTCACTTCCTATCCAGTGAAACTGTTGTCAATGGGACTGTAAGTGAGGGGAAATCTCTCAAACAGACAGCAGTAAAAACCAGACAGGGGTTTAAACCTAGCCTACCTAGTCCTGCTGCCCACACTGCTGATCTTTGCTCTGAGAATGAGCTTTGCTCTCTTCAAGAGCTTTGGTGCCCTAAGAATGAAATTTGCTCTCTTCAAGAGAAGACCTCTTCATCCACCCCACTTTCAGGACTGTCAGATTACTAGTCCCCTACCAAGCGTGTGGGTTCATTATGTGTCCATATGGCACTATTGTGACCAGCAGTGATGTAGAGCAGTGCTCCCCAACCTTTTTATCGCCGCGGACCGGACAACGTTTGATAATTTTACTGTGGCCTGCTGAGGGGGGGACGTTGATTGTTTATATTTTATATTGTTTTGATTTAATAATTTTAATTTAATTGTATTTAAAAATGCCTTCAAAATAAAATACAGTTACACCAAAAAATGAAAGCGTTGGAATTCTTCACCTATTCCACCACCGAAAAACTGGGCGAGATTACGTTAAAATGTGTGACCACGTCACTGGTCACACATTCTAACGTAGTCTCAAACTTTGATAGATCACATGCCTACCTGTAATCATTTAATCAGAGAAATAGATTATAATAGGGAACATTACAGTGTAATATTCCCCATTATAATCCACGTCTAATGACATGATGTAAGACACCTTCCCCCGCTCAGACTCACCCTTCCAGGAGCAGCAGCCATGTGTCGATGTGTGCACTCACTGCAGGGGCGGGGCGTGTGACACACACACACACACACACACGTCTCCTGTGACTCACCTCCACTCCCGCCGCCTGTTACTATAGACGCGGCCAGGAGGGGAGGTGAGTCACAGGACCCGCCCCCTCACTGTGAAGCCCGTCGGCAGTGCGGGGGCCCCGGTGTTCGAACACCGGGACCGTGCACTGCCATATATTGCATGACCGGACCGCACTGAGACTGTGCGGCCCGGTACCATTTGATCCGCGGACCGGTACCGGTTTGCGGACCGGGGGTTGGGGAACATTGATGTAGAGGCCTGGGGACCAGGAGTCCAAATTCTTCAGGCACTTTAGCCATTTAAGTGTGACTTCCAGAAGCAGTAAAAATTCTAAAACAGGCAAGTTTGCATGATACTGTAAAGGTGTGCTCTGCCATTGAAACAGCACAATGGTACTCTCCAGAGCTGAATGAAAGCTTTGAAAGTGAGAGATAACAGCCGTCCTGACTGGATCCACAAAAAATGGCCACTGTCTTGACAGAAATATGAAAAGTATCATTGTGAAAGTTTCCTTCTGAAAATGCCTGGCTGTCATGTTGATGCTTTGGTTTCAATACCTTCTTAGTCACTGACCTGGAACAAGTGAATTATGAAGGAATTCTGACTTTTTCTTACTTATTTGTTGCATGTTCCTAATCTGTAACTCAGAAGTGTTGAAGCCAGACAGAGAAGCCAACAGACCTTATCAGAAGAAGGTCAGTAATGGTTCCATACTTCTCTCGAGACAAGTGCATTTTAACTTACTCATATAGTCCTATATATGCTTTTCACTGAGCTATAAAAGCACACTAACCAGAATAATTTTCTTTTCTTCAAACTTAGGTGTTCCCTGCCTGTCCTTACATTAATTGGCACATGGGCTCATGTACATCAGATGTTGATTGGCAGTTAAATGTTGGTACATAAAAAGCCTTAGAACAGTGAGGCTGATTAACTAAAGGAGTAAAGAATTTTCACAGAATAGATTGTGTTAATATTTACTTTAATTATCCAAACATGTGCAGATTAAATTAGTACAAATGTACTTTTCACATGACTGGATAATTTAAGTTAGAAAATTATAGTCCAAGTATATGAATGTCTTACAAGATTTTACAAGCTTCCTTCAATCCTCTCATGCTCACCATCACCCATGTGGAAAAAGAGGTAGCATGTTACATAAATGTATGAGAATCTAAAGAGGCAGAAAACTGTGAAGGTTCCCACATATTACATCTGATGCAACCCGCTGCATTTAGGGTAAAGTGTACAGACATTTTAAGGAATGTAGGTACACACATAATGCAGTAAGATGACATTTATACATCTTTATAAACCAAAAGTGTTGTCAAATGTTCTAGTTTGACCCAGCTGGATTGCATTGTGTAGAATGTAATTGTGTAGTTCCTTGTGATTTTCTCTGTGATGCTGAGTGTGCTTATACAGAATCTTTGGATGCAAGGACTAATTAGATACAATCCTTTTTAATAATGATCGGATTAAACTATTCTCTTGCATGCCTGACTATGGACAATCATATTTTCAAATCACACAAAGTAAGATTGTAATGCAAAAATCATAAAACACGCGGCTAGCAAAATGCAGTAACCCTTAGCAACCACTTTATTTTAACCAATTAAAGCAATAAAAGATGGTTTCTTATTGGATACTGTTAGTATTGCCCTATGTGCTTACAGTTCCATTCAATTATTTAATGCTCAATTCTGGTTTGTACTATGAGCTCATTAAGTTCTATTGCACTGAACAACGCTGTGCATCTGTAAGCGGTACTCCGCATGTAACTCTATGTGATTCGATTACAAGCGGTTTGGAATATACATACATATACTGTATGTAGAAACTGGAGGCAGAAGTGTTTAACTTACCATGCACTATAGCCAGTGCCAAGATACCTCCTGTGCTGGTGCCAGAGACCCAATCAAAGAGCTCCCGGATGGGTCGCCCTGCAGTCTTCTCTATGGCAATAAGCAACTGAATAAGAACCAGTCCACGGATGCCACCACCATCCAAACATAGGAGTCTGTCATGTCTGCAGGTAAGAAAAGTCAAGATAACCACTCTGCCATAAATGTGTTAATTTATACTATGCATAGCACACTATAAAACAGAAAAATACACATACTGACCATATATTTTTCTTACACATTTCTACTTGATTAAGTCTATACAACATTATAAAGATCGTAGTACGTTAAAACATTTAAAGATAATGTGACCTATGCTCGTATTATATCTTAGCATGCAGTCTTTTATTTACACCATCCCATTAACTTTGGGATAATATGTTTTTGTTTATAGATAATAGTAATGCCTTTCCTTTATCATTCTTAAAAAACAGGAGATAACATGCTACTTTCTATTAAAAAAAGCAGTAATGTTTTTCTGAGTTATGTGCCCTGGAAAAGGACATAGCCTCCTTTTTATGCTAAGGGAACCCCATCCCCCAGGGGGATGCTGGACCACAGGTGTGAAAACTAATGGAAAAAATATTACCAACTAGTAATACTTCTGGTATATAATTTAAGTGCAAGCAAAAATAAGCATCTGCTGTTGACAACAGCTCTGCTTTCTCTCTTCTACAGTTTTTGTACACAAAGCCATACATCCTGCAGGATATTTTAAAGCTGATGGATGACTTACACTCTCAGGCCATCTTCCATGAAATCCACGGTGTCCCGTGATGCCAGCATGCTGCTTAGTGCAGTGGAAACATAGATTAGGTCCTGGAATCCTGGGTAAGAATTACAGGCTAGTTTATTTCATGGCAAAGATTGAAGACAATAAAGAAGACGGAAACACCAACAAGAAATGCATTTAATAAAGTCCAAGAGCTATTTCAGCAACAAAAAAGAGAAGGTAGAAAGGAGTTCACACATTCATACTCACTTACATACTCTTTTTCGTACTACTCTATTGGAAGCCAGTTTAGATTAGTCTAGAATGGTCTACGACAGCTAGTAGGGGGATGCTGGATACTACAGAATAAGGAGTAAGAATATTCACATTGGAGCTGCAACTAAGAGCTGTAAAATGTATGTGTGTGCTACTGCAAAAACTGTGGGTCACTAGCTGAAAAATCAGTCTAGTTACACGGGTAGAAATGCAAATATGAATTGATGGAAGGCTATAGAAAGTTTGTTATTTTGACTGTATTGTGACACAATGCTTAAGTTTGCTGCACAGCAGTAGTACTGCTACTTCGAGTGTGGCCCTCTTGTTCTCCATTTTCTTCTCAAGGAGTCAGTGTTCAATTTGTTAGCTTTTCACCCAATCAGCCATAGATTACTTTATTTATCAAAGTATCTAGATGAAGTACTGTTTTAATGTTTACCCCACCGAATCAAATCCCCTGATATAAATATCTGGTTGCTATTCCTTTTCAAACTTTGTGATAAATAAGGTCTAGTATGTGTATATGTATCCATGTAGCTTAATCTTATACCTGTACTGTTCACTGAAGCAGGCGCATTTGAGTAGAGTTCTCTAATTGCACAGCACTGATATGACGGTTTTCAGCCCCAAGAACTTGGCGTCTGGGAGTACTTAAAATGGGGCTTTCCACATCGAAAACGAGTGCTAAAAAAAAGAGCCCCAGCCCCCCCACACCAAAAACCTGATACCAAATCCTGCCATTTACGCTACATTCACACTATGTAACCGGGTCATTAACTTAAACGGGTGACAGCAGCCTCTATTACATGGCATCTTTGGAAGTCCTGCCGCAGAAATTTGTAGGTTCCTGCCTCAGGAATCCCAAAACGCACATTCACACAGTGTGAAGCCTGAAGCCTTAGACTATTCCTTACATTTAACCCTTCCTTCATCCAAGCCCTAATACTTCATCCAGCCCTTAGTATCAACCCTTAAAGGAGAACTATGGGGTTAAGTCTTTTCCCCATAGTTCTCCTTAGGGTAACGGGAGGACACAAACTAGCATCCTCCCGTCACCCTAGGCTCAGTATACCACGAGCTCTAGCTCACGGTATAAGGAGACGCCGCAGTATACCGTGAGCTGCTGCTCGCGGTATACTGAGACGCCGCAGCTGAAGCGGATCCCGACAATTGTGCAGGAATCCTCCCAGCTGCGTGACTGACAGCTGGCTCTGCCTATCTAGAGGCAGAGCCAGCTGTACCCGCCCTCTCTCCGTCCGTTCCGCCAGTCAGCGCTGGCGGATCGGAGCGGGGAGGGGGGAATCCAGCCCCTCCCCTGTCATGGCAGAGAGCCGTGACAGGAACGAGAGGTGAGCGAACGCCGGTATGTGTTCGCTCACCTCCCGATCTACTGAGCCGACCTGTGACAGTCTCATTGTCACAGGTCGGCTAGAACTATGAGGTGAGTGAAAAGCACTCACCTCATAGTTCACCTTTAAACCTAGCCCATAACCAGGTACTTTATCCCCTAAAACCCAACATTTAGTACAGGGTGGACCAATAAAACTGATGTTGAAGAGCATTTTAGATTTTCAGGAAAGAAAACACAGCAGAATCTATTTTCTTTAAGACTCTAACTGGATCTCTTTATGGTTGTCTTATCAGAGCAGGAAGGGAGGGGGAGGCAAGTCACTACTTTGTCTCATTCAGTCACTACTTTGTCTCATGTATACATGTGTGCTTGAGCTTTTGCAACCATAGTCTTTTTTTAGCAAAGCAGCTAAAACTAGCCTGGCAATCATGAGGAAAAACAAGGCTGAAGTTCCCCCTTCTGGAAATGTAAATATGAAATATTTATATATAAAATGTCATATTTATCCAAGAAAACGCATTAAAACATTTTTACAAATAATATATAGATGGGTGTGCAGTGCTCGGGGTCACACCCATCTATATACTATTTGACCTCAGTGTCCTGAGCGCAGCAGCTTTTTATTTTTTATTATTTTTTTTTATTTTATTATTATTGATATATATATATATTTTTTATATTATATTTTTTTTATTTAATTTTACCTATAGCCATAAGCGCGGATTATACATATTTTATATATTTTTAAAAATAATATTTTAGGGTCCTCAACATAATTAAGAAAAAACATGCAAAAATATGATACATTCGCTTAAAGAATGCATATCAAAACTGACACTGTGCTCAGACTTCCTAATCTGCTGTCATATGAAGAGAAATGTCTAGATCTTTAAAAAGGAACTCCAGCCAAAACTTTTTTGTAGTTTTTAGCAGAGAATGGATGGGCTAAACTCTGTCAGGTTCTTATTGTGTTCCTGTTTAGGAGACTCACTGTAATTTTTTACTGTCCTAGTTGCCAAATGTAATGCAGCAGAAAGTGAGGGAAATTCTAACGCTCTGAGACGTCACCAGAACAGGAGTTGAGAAGGAACCTGCCAATGGGGACACTTATTTGGAGGACAACTGTCAAAGGATGGATATGTCATCACTCGGGAAGATTTCATCTCTCTCTTGCTGTTGTGTCTTGGCTAGAAAGTGAAGGGAAACCTCTCCAATGGACACACAGACAGCAATGAAACCCTGACAAGGTTAAACCCTTCCACTCTCTATCCAAAGTATTAAAAAAAAGGCTTGGTTAAAATCCCACTTTAACAAAAAAATAGCATCATTGCATCAAACCTCATATACATACACACTTGACTGCACAGACAGGTCATGGAAAAGAGAAGGAACGTGAGTGCAAGAAAATAAATGATTCCCATATTGCAGGTTGAAGAAAATAAAGTGACACCTGGAGGAAAAAAAAGGAGCTGTGGAAATTTACACAGAAAGGTAAAGTTTGCACAAGGAAAAGTGAGAAAAGAACCTAGCTATTACTTCATCCACTTTTTTGGAGCGCTCGGGATCATCCCATTAATAGAATTTCATTATACAATTTTACCATAAATTTGTTATTTCTTCTACTTGTCCCTGAAGAGCTCCAAAGGTGAGATAAAGTACAGAAGATCTTGTTTGCAGGAGGGAGGGCAGGTTACCTATGCCGCTACTTGTGTCCATGGGGGGCGCTGTAGGACAGGAGGCAGCTGGCGGAAGCTGGGTATCAGGGGGAAAACAGCGCTGTGCTCCTACGTTATAAAGCATGTCGAGCAGAACCTTGCGATTAGATCCTTTAAAAAGGGGGGAGGGGAGAAACAGGAATCATTTGCTGGAGGATGAACTAGCACACTACTGCAAAGAAGAAGCAATTTATAACAGCTATAGTACTGGCACTATACAATGTGAAAACTGAATCTGGTGTATTGGGATACCTTGTGCAAACAAGACACTAACGGCTTATATAAAAATAAAACTGGTACATCTGGCATTTCGTCATGTTTTTATCAATGAGATAAGTATCGATGAGTATGGAGTATCGATGAGTTTTACCCATCTATAAAGCTGCTCTGAGCAAATACTCCACTCATAATATACTTTACCTTGCAGGTTTCTTCAGTGTTTTGATGCCAATCTGTCTACTAAACCATATATATGCAACTTATGATTTCCAAAGGATCTAGCCACACTTTGCATTTAAATGTTTTTATCTGTAGTCAGTTTACCTGCATTTAAAATAGAAGTCGGGTGCACCTAGGAAACAATTTTAAGTTCTAAACACATCAAAACACATGTAAACGCATATAAACGCGGTTTGAAGCTAGGATAGCTTGAAGCTAGCTTGGTACCTGATGCATCTAAACGCATATGCATGTACATGTGTCATTTAACGCATCTAGAAGCATAAACAAAGCATCCAGCCAACCGGTAAAAAAAAGCTTGACGTGCATTAAAAAGTTGACAGTTGCTTGGTGCACACTAAAAATTCTTTGTTAACATTTTGCTGCCGACCGACGGCTAGATTCCGCAGTCGGCAGCTGAATGTAAACGATGTGGAGAAATAGCCAGCCTGCTCTTGGCTATTTCAGATTGCAATAGCCAAGAGCAGGCTGGCTATTATGCCCGCCCACTGAGCAGAGGAGTGGACCACTCTCAGGTCTGCTCAGTAGGTGGGGTTTCAACAGACAGCCTGCTATTGTCTTTTGCAATTTGAAATAGCCAATAGCAGGTTGGCTATTGAAACCCCACTCACTGGAGGGAATTTTCTCTCTCCTTGCCGCTGCTCTGGTGGGCGGGGTTGGGAGTCACTATTACCTCTCAAGCAACCAGAAACTAGTTATCTGGCATGTACTAATCCCTGTTGGTGCCGTATTTACTGTATATGATTATATTATTCTATTTGCAAAGACCCATGTTATATTACGCTCAGGGTGGCTTAAAATGTATTTCCACCTTTGCAGCCAAGTTGGGATAACACCTATTTTATGTTTATTACATCTTATCAATTCACTATGTAATGTTAAGGAGGGGGCTATGGGAAGCTATGTTTACTCGAATTAACCTTGTCTGTACTGTGGTAACAGATTTCATTATCAGTTTAATCTAGATGAAACTAGATTTAAACACAGTCTGTCCGGAAAAAAAAAGGGTTAAAAACTTAGAAGCATTGAATGTTAATGAGAGGAGGCTCAGTCTGTCCTTCAGTTTGACCCTCTATTTTCAAACTGCTCAGAGTAGCTTGGAATCCACACAAAGGCTTTCTCCAATGACAAATCTAAAAAGTAAGAAATATTTAAAAATATATATATTTTAGGTATGATGAGTGAATGGGAACACAAAACAAACATCTGCAAAACAAACATATGGCTGCAAAAGTGGAAGTACACTTTAAGTTATTGCTGTTTATGTGACATATTATAAGAAAAAAGGAGTGTCCTAAAGACGAGGGAGTGCTCCAGGAACATTCTTTCTTCCACTCATTTCCTTGTGGATATAAACTGTCACTTCAGAATGTGAGATTTAACACCTTTGCTGGACCGGGCTGCCATAAGTCCTGGTGTCTCCCCAAAGTCGTTCGGCTGCTCCACATTGGCCCCAAAAACTATGAGAGCTTTAATTAGCTCCAGATGATCCTTCTGCAGGAAGAATATAGATACACTTAATAACATGGAAAACCATGAACTTTGACCTATATACAATGAAACTAATGCACAAAAACATTTGATTAACAACATACAACATTGAACTTTTTCTGGAAATCATAGCTGATTGGCTGTCTCTGGTTTCAAAGACCTTCAACAAGCATGCAGACATACTTGTAGGTTAGGGACTCCAAACTTTTTTTCATTTTGGATAGGGTAAGGTTAAAACCCCTGATTTTTTTTTCTCTGATTGGGAAGATTCTCCATAACTTCCTGTCTCAAAACACAGATGGAAGTAAGGCCTTGTTCACACCAAGCGCGTTCCAGGAGCAGAGCAGAGCAGTTACAGACCGGATCAAAACTGCATCCAATGTATTCCAATTGTATTTTGGGCTCTGGTTCACACCGGAGCGTTCAGTTCCAGAGCATGTAAAAAAAACTGCAGCATGCCCTATTTTTCCTGCTCTGGAAAGATCTGGAACGCATGCAACGCATTACAAATGCATGCAAACGCCCTGGAACTCACTGAAAGTCCATTCTAGGGTAAACGGCCTGGAACGCATCAAAAACACGGCAAAAACGTGTGTGCAGATCTGGGCTGCATTTGGTGTGAACAAGCCCTAAGAGAAGTTCTCTCCAAAGTAGAGATATCCTTTCTTAGGCTGGGTTCACACCTTGACGACAGTGTTTTTGCGCATTTCTACCACGATTTTGATGCACGTTTTGTGCGCTTTTTGAACGTTTTAAGTGCATAAATCTGGTTGTGCATTTTTGTGAGCAGATTGAAACTAATTTATGTTAATGAGCAAACGTGCGTAAAACATGCACAAAAATACAGCAAACACGAATTTTCAAGCATTTCTTATTGAGTCTATGGGGCAAGAACAAGCTGTTATATGCCCAAAATAAAAGCTTATGAGCTCATGTATTTTTTCCAGTGACAGGCATTTTGCTTGTTGTGACAAAACGCACAGATGTGAACAGGGCCATAGAAATTAATGGAATTTTTTGGGGCATATTTTTTGAGCGTTTTGTTAGTGCAGAAAAAGCGCTACAAAATGCTCAGTGTGAACCAGGCCTTAGACAGTTGTTACTAGAACAAGTTTACCCATTGCAAAATTTCCCTCTAATTTTGTCCCAGTGACAACTCAACAGTTTAGATTTTCCCTCACTATCAGTTCCGGTGAAAATCTAGATCAAACAGAGTGAATGAGTGTCACCAGTGGGGACAGAGACAGCAAAAAAACCAAACAGAAGTTCTAAACCCTTTCCTATAAAAAATGTAATTGATTTTAAATACACAATAAATGCCTTTGGCTCAGCATAACAGCCTACATATGTCTCTAGGTACATATTTCCTTTATCATTTTCTGACTGTGATAAAGCTTATGTGAGTGCATCTATCTACGAATAAAAGAAAACACATACGATAAACACCATCGCCCATAAATGTAAAAAAATAAAGATATCAAATCCCCAGAAGACCAGCTGTGCCACCAAGTGGCCTTAACTAGTATGACAACTATAGAATTCCACATAATAACGTCTGATGCATATCATATCATTTGTACATTATATACAAAATTCACCAACCGTCAGTAGACATAACATCCATGAGGCAGCATGTAAACAAACCATGTTCTAGTGTAATAATGTCCCCGTCTGCAAAGAGTGAAATCATCAGATGAGTGGAGGGGGGATGTCATCATGCTGGTACATGGGTATGCCTACATGCCAACTCGTGGGAGACTGATACTAGCCTGTTCAAGATTGTGCTAATAGCAAGCATCTTCAAATGTGAGTTTTACATATTTCTAATGAATAAAAAGTATGCTCAATTAACAAAGCTAACACACCACGATAAGGAGCTTTACTTAAAAAAACATTTTCAGTGAAAAATGATGAAACCCATGACATTATTGTGTCATTTATTACAAGACTTTTTATTAGATATACAGGTGAAACTCGAATAATTAGAATATCGTGCAAAAGTTCACAATATTCTAATTTTCTGAGATTGTGGATTTGGGGTTTTCATGAGCTGTAAGCCATAATCATCACAATTATGACAAATCACAGCTTGAGCTATCTTGCTTTGCATGTAATGAGTCTATCTCATATATTAGTTTCACCTTTTAAGTTGCATTAGTGAAATAAATGAACTTTTGCACGATATTCTAATTATTCGAGTTTCACCTGTATGTATAGGCATTTGTTTATTATATAGATGTGACATGTTTATGCACTATATCGTTGCTTTTTTATGTACAATTGTTTTGCCAGTGTATTTTACTTGGAATATACTAATTAAAGTTGGGGGATTTATATATATTTTTGTATATTAATATGTTTTTAGCACTGTATGAAAAAAGGAAGTCTTGTACTGTCTGGTTTGTAGCTATAACAGGTATAGTTCTGACGCTTAGAGGGGTTTAATACCCCAGCACAAAATTTGGGGGTTTACTTTAGTCCAATTTGGAGACAGCAGGTTGTTTTAAAAGAGAACTAAAGCCAAACCTATTTTTGACCGTGAACTGAATGATCAGGGGTTTGTGATCGGTCAGTTGTCAATCTACAGAGCTGGCATGTGACACCTGTAGGCTCCAAGTATTTGGGAAGAGCGCATTTTACTCTCACAATATTTCTCCTTTTTTTTTTTTAATAGCTTTGAACAGAGTGGGGAAGGGTTAACGTCTGTCAGATTTTTATTGCTGCCCTTGTATCCCGTTTTGGAAGAGTCCCTCTCACCTCTCTCTTTGAACACTGTCCTGTACTATGTGCTTATTTTAATATTACAAGAATAGTTTAAAAAAATGTTAGATGACAGCTGAGATTGTTTAGGCCTCTTGGTATACTTTAGTGGGACCAAATCACTCCACCATACACTGATGCTAGGTAAGCTTGCTTCTGTATTAGCAGTATACCAGAAAGCACTCACACCACAGTTGGTGTATAGTAAATGCTGTATCGAACAGTCAAACCAAAGTAGCTGTATAATAGGTGCTGAATCAAGCTGTCAAGCTAAAGTGCTTTTGCTGTAAATGCTGGACTTAGATGTCAAGTCACAGAGGCTGTGCCTCAAGCTTACTTAGCATCAGTGAAAGGAGGAGTGATTTGGAGGAGCGACACGAGGTTGAGATGACGAGACTAGTCCTCAGCGGGTCCTGCTAGCTAATAAGTGGACTCTGCCCATAGCGTAAACAGTCCCCCAACTGGGGATCATGGTAAAGTTCTGCTAACACTCCAGTCTCACATTGGAACCAGATGCTTTAGGATAAAGCTGCAAGAGTATAAATAGAAATTTACACTGGAATAATACATTGACATCCCTGGACTTACAGTAAAAGCAATATTAATTAGGTAGCTACCCATTTATATTATATGAAGGGTACAATATAACTGAATAGTGCATTTACAAATATAAAGGAGCGTGGGAAGACCTGTATGGCTTAGGAAAGTGTAGGTATGTTTTTATAGATATAAGTGATTCTGCGCTGGGCCTAGAAAAGTGTATAAGTGCTAGTGTGCCAATTTAATTTGAAGGCTGCAGAAGGCGCTGCATAATTTGTAAGTTATATGTTTTTAGTATGTTTCATTATGTATTATAAAAGGATGTTTTTATTTTTTGAACGCTCTGTCTGGCATTAAATAACATGGAATCATCATTTTGTTTGAATGCATGCTGTGATGCAGCAATTATTAAATATGTAGAAGAGCTTATTCTATGGTGATTAAAGTGTAAGAATGCATCTTCACAGCATTCATCTCAGTTTTCCTAGAGTGGTCAAACATAAAAAGTTCTATACATCTAATTTAACCAGAGACAAGAGAGAAGGAATATAAAAAACTAGTACATGTATATATGTCAGTGTAGAATTGTAAAAACAATGTAAAATGAGTTGGTTTCATACCACAATACAAAAACAAAATAGTATGCACCTGACTGTTTACTAGGGATGCACCGATATTTCGGCCGCCAAAACATATTGGACAAAAATGGCACTTTTGGCATAATGCCGAAAGTGTCATTTTCTGGCCGAAATAGCGGTGCTTCCGTTCTTTCTCTCCTGTCACAGGTGGCCGAGCGCTGGGTGAGGAGAGCATTGTGAGCGGCCAGCGTCTCTCCTCCCTGCACCACTCAGCCTCCTGTCACAGATCGGAGGAAAGCGGTGTGGGCGGAGACAGCCCGCGCTGTCACAGCAGACTGAGCTCTGCACGCTCAGCTTCCTGTGACAGCGTGTCAGGCAGGAGAGCGAGTACAAACACTTAGCGATCAGTGGTCGCTGATTGTTTGTAAATAATAGGTTTACTATATCCTGAATTTTGAATGAATGGGAAGTGATCTATATCACCTCCTGTTCATTCATGATTGTGGTTATAGTAAACATACTCTGTTCTCATGTTATGAATGAACAGGAACACACATAGAGGATTCCTGTTCATTGATAACAGGGGCTGCAGAAAAAGAGATTGAGGACTCTGTTTCTCTTTTTCTGTTTTAAAGAGAAATATCAGGGGTCTGTTTAAACCCCTAATATTTCCCCAAAGCCCCTAAAAGTAAAATAAAAAATAAAAATATTTAATAAAAAATGAAATAAAATATAAAACATTCAAAAGTTTATAAAAATAACATATTTTTAAAAATGTGAAAAAGTTAAAATAAAAAAACATTTTTGGTTTCAGTCTGAAATTTTTTTTAAATTTTGGTTTAGTTTCGTTTTTTCAATTTTCATTTTGGAGCACCTCTACTGTTTACTACTTTAACTCTTCATTAACAGGTTATTGAAAAGTATGCATGTTTCCATTTTAATTCTACTATCCGACAACAAAAGAGTATGATTGTGTATTACCTTCATGGCAAGGTGCAGAGGGGTGTTTCCTTGCTCTCCCTTGGAGTTGGGATCTGCTCCGTGAGTTAAGAGAACCATGGCAGAATCAAAACGGCTCCTCTTTACCATTATGTGTAATGGGGTTTCTGATGTCCTACTGAGTGCATTTACATTGCTACCACGTTCAAGTAACAATAAAGCCATCTATACAACAGAGAAGGTACTGTTAGAAGTTATAATGGCAAATCTACGGCTACCTAATGGAAAATATTTACTCTATACAGAGAATTTTGGTGGCTCATGTATACAATTGTGTCAGGTGAAAATGAATAGAGTTGCGCAGAGCATTCACATTCACTGTATTTTCTAAAATGCTGTGGGGATTGAAAAATTGAAGCCTAGAAATTAAAAGGTTACTAGGCTCAATACCGCCAATTTCCTGTGCACTAATTGTGCATGCGAATTAAAGATAAAAATAACAGAATGGTAGCTGATTATGGACCATGGGAGGAGTAAAGAAGAGGCACAAACGCAGCTGATCTTGAGATGGGCCATAGAGGAAAAAGCATGAAAACGGATCATTTTGAGACATATGGTTATGCTGCTGTCTTCGGGAAAAATGGACAGCAGGCAAAAAATTAAAAGCTTGCCACTTTAAGATCATAACCCCTCCCACCTGCCAGCTGTAGCAAGCAGTATTAAAGGGAATGAGGGGAGGGAGCTCTGAGAAAAGGATTTCATAGTAAGAACAAAATCCTATTTTCTCCATCGTCCATCGAGAGACACAGCTTTGAAGAACTCTCAGACATAGGGATGCCCAAAAGCAGTCCAAACAGAAGGGCGGGCACCATAACAAATAGAAGAAACAGCTCAACAAAAAAAATAACTGTGAAACAAATACTCAAACAGCTGTCTGAAGAATGTTTCTGCCAAAACTGCTGTGAAACGACTTCAAGAACAAACACAGCAAGTCCAGTTATTTTTTACAGATATACCGTGACCTGGATGAATGAGAACCTTGACAATTAACACAATGTTTCCCAATTGTGGTTTATATCTTACAGGTAGAACACACACCAGATTGGGTACATCGTCAGATGTTCCAGAGCAGATGTCCCTCCGCTTGGGAGTAAATAGCACTTTTTCCTAGAATACTCACAACCCCGACCACTGTGAATTATCAGGAGGAAAACAGAACTGTGCCACTTCTCACAGCGGACAGCAGGATATCATAGCAGAGTCTATCGGAGATATAGAGCAGAATTTGTTTCCACTTCCCTCAGAGTCTGTGTCAGTTTCTCAAAGCAGGTGTCTCACCACTGGTGACTCACAAGCATTCCACCGGGGCCTCACAACTGTGTGAATTGAGGGTGGGAGGAGAGGTGGTGCGTGTATCCTCACTAGATGTCTGGGGACAGCAACTGCCTGGCTCAACGCGGCTGTGCTGAGGAAGTGCACATGCAAGGAGAGTAAAAAGCAAATGCATCATAGTTTTAAAAAATTTTAAAAAAGCTGTAAAGTCAAAAACAGGCTAAGAAAAATACTAACAATAGTCTACAGTAAAAGTTAAAAAAAGGGAAGGTGCCATCTCTGCATGGAAAAAAAACATAGAGTACTCACAAGCTCCATGGTCCTGCTACCAACATAAGAGGAATCCCCAGACAAAACCGACCTGACCTCCGAAATGGTAGCTGAAATGCCTCACCAGATAGCAACATAGGATCATTGCAGGAAGGATCTTCAGTGCTGTGACTGGGAAGGTCTGGGTTCTTAAATGAAGGGATAACCGTGGGAAATCCGGATCCACTGCATCAGTACTGAGACCAGAAACGACCTGCTTCCTGACAACTAGAGAAACCTGCTGGATTTAACTTATCCGGCATAAACCTTTCAATTTTGTCTGCTATCTAGAGAAACTTCCAGGATTTAACATTATCTGGTATGAATCATCTAGCAGCTCTTGATAATAGAATCTCACTGATGAAACAAAACAAACCCAAATAAAAAAGCAGAAGAGAAAGATGCATACATTCTCCTAAGGACACTAAGCAAAACTGGTAGGTTTGAGGTGGGAAGGGTTATGCTCTTAAAGAAGAACTGCGGCATAATTAACCCCTGCAGTGACAATACTCCTGCACTGCAAGGGTTACGTGCTTTTTTTCATCCAGGAATGAAAATAAAAAGTTATCTTCACCTTAACCTTGAAGACGGCTGGCTGTTACTCCCTTCCCTGCCGCCTGTCTCCTCCTCCATTCCAGCAATGGAATGGCCCTCAGCTGTCTCATAACCTATACACCGTATAGGACGTGATGACTGATAGGACCTTAGACCGCCGGAGTGAGGAGGCAGGGACCAGTCTAGCAGCCAGCCGGCTAGAAAACAAGCACTTAACACTTACAGTGCGGGAGTAGCCGCACTGCAAATGTCAAGAATAATTATGCCCGGAGTTCTTCTTTAAAGTTGGCAGGCTTTTAATTTTTTTGCCTAGTCTCTATTTTTTCTGAAGGCAGTAGCATAACCCTATGTCTCAGAATTCTTCAGAGCTGTGCCCCTCGAAGAACGATGAAGAAATTGCTTCAGAGAGCATTATTATAATTTTTGTGTTTTATCTATTTCATCCAGTATAAGCCATATCCACAATATACAAAATGCGATACTGTAGGCAACGCACAGTATGTGTGGTTGCTGTATATGCCCATGACGAATCACAAGTGTCTGTCCTGTAGTATGAGGATTATAGTAGCCCATGCACATTAATATTGTACCTCAGCATTCTTTGCCCAATGAAGAGGAGTTGCCCTATACCGAGGATCTTCAGCATTGGCCTGTGTGGCAGTAAAGTCTAGTATTGCTTCTGCACATCTTGGGGGAAAAAATAAGTATGTTATTTGCTGTTTAACAAGATTCTAGTGTACATTTCCTGATGCATTAGCTACTCCATAATCAAGACCTTCTTTCTCCAATTTATTTATTTTTACATGAAGGTTGATTAGGCTTATTACTGGATTTTCTCTGTAAAGACTCTGCCTGCCAGGTGTATAGGCCAAATGTGGTGCTTGCATTTTTGTAACTTATGTGGCTAAAATACAAATGACATTAGTGTGGGTTCATTTTATATTTGTAGTCTCAAGTGTCTCATTGTTAATTCCTATTGTGATGCTAGAACCCAAAGTGAGGTTTAGAACACAGCAGGGGCATCCCGAGGCATGGTGTCACCCGGCGCGGCCATCAGGTGACACCCCGCCGAGATGTCATCGCACACGCGCAACGTCATCGCGCACACACGTGATGACGTCACGCACTGTAACCTGCCAGCGGCCATCTTGGTGATGGATGCCAGTGTTCTGTCGAAGGCAACTGAGCGCCGGCAGAGACAGGAGGGGACGTTCACCCGCCGGGTCCCCTCCTCTCTCGTAATCTATGACCGAGTGCCCACCTTTTCAAAGGGGGTGACACCAAAATGATTGTCAGTCATTTTGGTGTCACCCCTTCCAATGGTGTAACCCAGGAGCTGGCCCCACCCCTCCCCCGCAACCCCCTGGTGAAGCCACTGGAGCAAAGGATATTTATTCTCTATTTCTTTAAAAAGGTGATAGCTGAACAACAGTTTTATGCTTTTTAGCAAGATCCAAAGTAGGTGACCACTTGTAGGTGTTACTTGTGGTGATATTTCTTCTACTTCCATATGCTGTAACAAAAAAACATTTAATTACAGGTATTCACCACTTAGAGACATACAGCATATACTATAATATATATATACACACACTGAGTGGCCAGATTATTATGACCACCTGAATTTAGCCATAACATTATGACCATCCACCTAATATTCATTAGGTCCCCCTTTTGCTGCCAAAACAACCATGACCTGTCGAGGCATGGGCTCCACTAGACCTCTGAAGGTATGCTGAGGTATCGGGCACCAAGCCATCAGTAAAAGATCCTTTAAGTCCTGTAAGTTGCGAGGCGGGGCCTCCATGGATTGGACTTGTTTTTCCAGGACATCCCACAGATGCTCAATTGGATTGAGATATGGAGAGTTTGGAGGTCAAGTCAACACCTCAAACTCGTTGTTGTGTTCCACAATGCATTCTTGAACCATTTTTGCAGTGTGGCAGGGTGCGTTATCCTACTGAAAGAGGCCACTGAGTCAGGCAATACTGTTTCCATGAAGGTGTGTACATGGTCAGCAACTATGTTTAGGTAGGTGGTACATGTCAAAGTAGTGGCAGGACACAAGCTTTCCCAGCAGAACATTGACCAAAGCATCACACTGTCTCCACCGGCTTGCCTTCTTCCCATAGTGCATTGCCATCTCTTCCCCAGGTAAGCAACATACACGCACCCAGCCATCCACATAATGTTAAACAAATTTGATCATGAGACCAGGCCACCTTCTTCTACTGTTCAGTGCTCCAGTTCTGATGTGCCCATTGTAGAAACTTTTGGCAGCAGACAGGGTCCACCATGGGCACTCTGGCCAGTCTGCGGCTATGCAGCCCTATACGCAGCAAATTGCAATGCACTGTGTTCAGATACCTTTCTACAGACTACACGGGCCAGCCCGTCACCGATTCACCAATTTTCCTTCCCTGGACAACTTTTGGTAGGTCCTGAACACTGCAGACCAGGAACATTCAACAAAAGCTGCAGTTTTGGAGTCGCTCTGACCAAGTTGTCCAGCCATCACAAATTGGCCCTTGTCAAAGTCACTTGAATCCTTACACTTGCCCATATTTTCTGCTTCCAACACATCAACTTAAAGGACAAAATGTTCACTTGCGGTCTCATAAATTCCACCTACTTCCAGGTGCTACTAAAAGGAGAAAACCAATGTTATTCACGTCACCTGTCAGTGGTCTTAAGGTTATGGCTGATTGGTGTATATACACACACACACACGCGCCCGCGCTGTATATAGCAAGAAACAGAAAAATAGAAGTGTGGCACACATGTGTAATATTTCTCAGCAGTTTGTCTGGTACTTTAAGCCCCTGATCTCCAAAGTAGTGAAGAGAAAGCCTGCTAAAGATCCTGCAAAATCCAACGCTTGTGAGAGTGTCAATTCTCTGGTATCTGTCACTCACTTGGTTCTTACTGCCCACCCCCTATATCAATACAGGATTCAATAATGACTAAGGGGCCATTGGATCAAACTACTTAGTGTCCTGGGGGATCTTGAATCCAACATTCCCGGAAGTGTTGGATTCTGCAGAAGTTTTTTTTAGCATGAGCCTTTTCTTCATCATTGTAGAGATTGGCATCATGGGCGTTATGTCTTTCATGCAGGGAACCCTTTATTTTGGTGACAGAGTCGCTTTAATAAAAGAGACAGAGGTGGCAGTTGGTCATACATTCATTGCAACAGATAAACAGCACAAAGTGTAAGATTAAAAAAAAAAAACGCCAACCTTTTTTATTTATCCATGTAAATCAAGCAGGTTTTCAAAAACACAAAATTATTTCTTATTTTTCTGTTGCATTCTTTGAAAGCCATACTTCAATAAGTGTCCTGGAAATTGGAAAATCATCATCTATATCCTAAATAAAATCATGAATACACGCATGGAGTTGTCTAAAAAAATACAACTCCGTCATAACTTAACCTGAACGGAAAGTTTTGGAGTGTGGATGTGTTAAAACCCCTTTCAGGGTTGTGTTGTTGTCTATATCCTTAAAGGATGCACCCCTCATTTGTTCTGGGGACAGAAAATGATGGGAGATCCAACATTTTAGAGATGTCACGGGAACAGAAGGTGAGGGTTTATCTTCTAATGGAGACATCCGTTCAGGTGACAAATATCTAAGAGGGAATCAGTGGCGTAACCAGAGTTCTGGGCGCCCGGGGCAGAAATTTTTTTTCTCCCCCCCCCCCCCCACCACTGACCTCAGAGCCGGCTGTCATTTTCTCTCTGATTCCTTTCATCCCTGCTGGGCACTGCTCTGTGTCGCAGCGGGGATGAAAGTAATCATGGCCGCGCCGACAAAACGGCAGGAAAATATCATTTTCGGCATTTAGCCGAAAGTGCCATTTTCGGCCGGCGCCCGCGCCGCCCTCTTCACTTTTCGCCCGGGGCCCGCGCCCCTGCTGCCCCCCCGGTTGTTACGCCACTGGAGGGAATTACCCCTTGATTTGGTGAGATGTTCTCATAATTCCGGTTTTGCCTCTAGGACAGGAACGAACGGACCCAGACAGCAAGAAAAAACCTGATAGGTTTCTAACAATTCTCTATTCTATCCAAAATAAAAATTAAAAAAAGTTTTGGCTTTACCTACAATTTAAGATGTTCAAGCTCCCAATGCTTGCTCATGATTGGCTTTTGAAGATCAGCAGATGAGCCGAAACATATAAAGGAATGTAGGGTACCAGTTATTTCATAAAATGATGGCCTTTCTTTCATCATCTTTCCATCTGTGCATCTGTTTTTTTGCATGCTTCAGACACCTCAAATAATTGAAATTTGTTTGATTACAATGAACCACAATTATGGCTTGTATCACAATGGTCCACTTATTTAATAGGCTATTAAAGATAACCCAGCATGTTGACAAATGGTTAGTTGGACTGCTGTCTTGTTATATGAAGCAGTTACCTTACCCTTTCATTGTGTATTTCATTGCGGTATGAATTGGGTATCCATCCTTTCCTATGATATCACAATGAGCATGGCAGCGCAGCAATGCCAGCACTGATTCAGATTTGCCCATACGGCAGGCCACATGCAGTGGAGTCTCTTTGCTGTTACTCAGATGGTTAATACCAACAGACGGAGTAGAGCACAGGATCTGTGAGTGTGAACAAACAAAATGGTTAAATGCAGAACATGATAAGAGGACAAGTTGGGAAGCATGGACAAGCATGACGTTTTAACCAATATACTCAGGAATGGGCACTGGTTAGTTTTCAGGAGTAGATCACGCAAAATATCTTATCTTTAACGTGTTATATTTGTTAAATCTATCATTCAAATAATACCTGGTGATCCTCCTATGAGGAACCCTGTTCAGACATGTCCTGTTATTAGGTATAAACTTTCTAGCAACTGCGCTGCTGCTTTATCATCTTGTTACACTAGTCCCTGATGAGAGACTATAAGCAGTTGTGCCAATATACATTGCGCAGGTATGGTTCACCAGGCTCCAATCAGAAAGCCTACCTTGAGCACTGTAATGCGGTACTGGCTGCATAGAGGCTAGAAGAGATAAGCATCGACATGTGTTGTGCGCCAAACATTCATATGTGTTTTCATTGATTTCAGATTAGATTAGCTTTAATACAGGAAAACCACACAGGTATGATAATAAATTATATCAATAGACAAACCACAAAATAAAGGCATCCAAAATGCAGCATGAAAGTACTAACTTCAATAACATGAGGGTTGTTTTGACGGGCTGCATAGTGGAACACAGTCTCTCCATTAAAATCCGCAATGTCCTGCCGAGCCTGGCAGTCATTTACCAGCTCCTGAATGCACTCAACGTCACCCTTCTTGCAGGCCAGATGAAGTGGGGTGCAGCCTCCATCGCACTCTGTGCTATTTACACTCCTAAGAAAAACACACACACACATATATATAACAATAGTTACTGAAAAAACAGTCATATACACAGAGCGGCACAATGATACAAAAAATTACACTAAGAGACTTGCATTTGTGTATTCCTTTTTATCAGTCTTCTGTCATCCTCTTCAGAGCAGCACTCAAACCTGGCAAAGCTAGGGGATAATCAGGCTCTGCTGTATATAAATGTACTGGCAGGGAACATGAGGGCAGGAAAAGAGTGCAGAGTTAGCAGAGTTGATGACTTTTTCGTGTGTTCCCACTCATCCATTGTCCGATAAGCTGGCAGGGAGATATTATCACAGTATTCTCTGTAATAAAAACCTATGCAATTTTATTGAAAATGCACAATATATTATATATATATATATATATATATGTGTGTGTGTGTGTGTGTATGTACATGTACATGTATATATATATATATATATATATATACACACACATACACATACACACACAGTGTATACAGTATATGCTGGCTTTGTCTCGAGTATATGTAACCCAGCATACATGTATGTTAAAGGGAAATGACCTGTGCTTTGTTGAATTTGTGTGAAACCTGTGAAGATTGCATTAGATAAGATAACCAAAGATTATTTTCCCTCTGTACACTTTGGGATAATTTATCAAAACCAGAGAAGACATAATCTCGAGAAGGTGCCCATAATAGCACACAGTTTGCCATGTGCAACTGCTTCAGATTTTGTCTGCTTAAGTTTTGACAAATAACACTCTCTGTGTGAAATTGACACAGCATACAGTAATAATGCTGAGCATTCCTCAGTCACATCAGACTTGCTAAAGTGCCTTATGTGCTATTGCAGCTACTTGTTCTGGTGACCTTCATCACTGAAAGTGAAAGAAAATCACAAATTGTGGGTTCTCATCAGAACAGGAATAGTTGGGAAATCTCCCAATGGGGACATTAGTTGCTGGCTGACTCTACTGACCACCAGGGATTTACACTCACTTCCTGTTGTGACTACCAGGCAGGAAGTCAAGAGAAATTTCCCCAATGAGACAGGGATTGCAACCCTCCTTTACTCCATACAAAACTAAAAAAAAAGGTTCTGGCTTTAGTTCTTTGAACATTTGCCATGTATGTGCTTTTCAGATGCTCACCAATGGAAAAGGATAACCCTAAAGGTTACAGCTGTAAGAAAAAGAGTTTAGATTTTTGCATGATTGGCTCCTAAATTAGCATATCTTTAATAGTGATGTGGATAGGCTTGGTGTGCCCCAGCCCGCATAAATCTGTCAGTGACATTACCCCTTCCAGCCCAAATCAGTTGCAGCGGGGCATAGGGTCAGGAGAGGGTGTGTCGTTGACAGTTTTGCTTGGGTGAACTTGGGGGGCCCACGCATACAACTTATCTTTACTAAACAACCAAGCTCACCAAAGTAAAAAAGCATGTGACACTCTTGGAAAAGGACATCTTCAAATGAGGACAGCTGTATTCAGGTAATCCATCCGTGAGTCAGGGGTGGGTTTGACTTGCTCTGATCTTGCATAGATTCTCCTCCCTTAGTACAAAGACAGGCAGAAGGACCTAATGAGGGACATTTATCAATACTGGAGCAGACAAAATCTGAAGCAGCTGTGCATGGCAACCAATCAGCATCTATCTTTCTTTTTCAAAGGTTAACTGAACAAACTGAAGAGAAAAGCTGATTGGTTGCCATGCACAGCTGCTCCAGATTTTGTCTGCTCTAGTAACGATAAATACTCCTCAATAATGTGTCAACACTGCAAGGAGTAGGCATCCTACAAAGATTAAAATAAGGGTACTCCTTGTTATACTAAAACAGAAAGCCCTAGAGTGACAGCTGAGCACCAGCAGCTACCTTTTGAATTTGATAACATTTGTACTAAGAAAAAGAATGGATAAAAGGTGGTTATGGGAGGCCACTTCCCTGATAACAAAAAAAATGCCCAACACATTTTTACTAAAGAATAAGGACAAGCGAATGTGTCTGGGTTCGGTTCACGGTGTCTCCATCAAACCCATTTATAAAGTCTGAAAATTGAGAACTTAAATCCGAACCTCATTAAAGTCTATGTGGGGCTAATATTTGCAGTATATACATTTGCTAATATATACAGAAATCAATTCTGGTTATTTTGAAGACTATTAGGCAAAGGATTGTTAAGCAAAGGGCATAGGAAGCTGATCACTGACATGAGGGGCATGTACCAATTCAAAAAAATATATTTTGAATACCATATAGTGGGGAGAGAGTCCTCCCTTTAATGCGACTTAAAGGGCAAAATATAAAAATACCAATTCATTCAATTACGTGCTCGGGAGATGGCTTCGGAACAGCATGATTCTCATGGACAGCATCAGTAACACCGTATTCTGGCATTACAAATTTTGTATGTGTACTTGATTTTTTTACTTTTACATTATTGTTTGACTGAAATACAACAGCAGCACCCAAATCCGATTCATTACAACTTGTGAAAACGTATTTTTAGGTAGTTTTGGATGCCACAACTAATTTTTTATCCAGCGGTTATAGGCCTGAATTGACCAGTGGCAGTAGCAGCCACAACAGGTCCAAAAGCTATAGGAAAGTTCCCCCTTAGGAAAAATAAAGCTAAAGACTCTAATTCTGTACAACAGTTTATTAGTATAGTTTTTTGAGCTTCTTTTTACGCAGTACCACCCTGTATTGTGTTAAATTGGTCTAATACAATGTCAATAAAGAGTGCACAAAAACATTTCAAAATCACAACCCCACATTCCCCAAACCCCTTCCTAACCCTGTGTCCCAATAATTCCCAAATTCAAAATATAAACTTCAGGGGTCAGAACAGTACACAAACACCCGATAACAGTGCATGGCAATGCCACGGTGTAGTATGGCAACATTAGCACCAGGTGTTGCCAGTTGCCAGGTTGAGCTGATCAGGTGGCTGAGAGCAGCCTTATTAGGAAGCCAGCCCAGTGCTTTAGGGAGAGTTGTGGGTGTGCAAGAGGCACACAACGACAGGCCGACTCTGCTGCGTGCGTGAGCACAAGGGACACAGCCAGGAAGGCTGGAAAGGTCCAGAGGATCCGTGACCCTGAGATGCCTGTCGGGGAGACAGAGGGGGACAGTGACCCACGAGGGGTGGATACTGAACCGCTTGGAGCTGAGGAAAGCTGCTGAGCAGTGCTGAGGACTGTATTCACACAGAAATATGGTAAAGTCCTGGGACTATCACACGGGGAGTGTATGGGACAGACAGATGTCGGTGAGACCAACCACAATGTCTTGATGAGACTCCTCTCATGCATGAGACATGCATGAGAAAAAACACATGACTATGCACCAAGGAGCTCGGCGGGAGCAGCACCTCAATGATACTAGTTGGCAGCAAAAGGCACGTGGGTACATAGTTAGTTCATCACAAGTGCATCGAGTTCAACCTATACAGATGAGAAAAAATTAAGAAGAAAAACCTAAAACAGAACGCCCACTGTCGATCCAGAGGAAGGCAAAAAAACAAACCATAAGCATGGTTCAATTTGCTCCAACAGGGAGAAAAAACAGGATATTCCCTGGATCAACAATATCTGGTGCTTAATATACATATAAGAACTCAATATCCAGTAATATTCTGTGCATTTAGAAATACATCCAGATTTTTTTTTAAACAATTAACTGAGCTAGCTAGAGCTAGCTCCTGGGGGAGTCTATTCCAAATTTTCACAGCTCTAACTGGGAAGAATGCTTTCCATATGCAAAGGTTAAACCTCTTTTCCTCCAGACACAAAGAGTGCCCCCTCATCCTTTGCAGTGACCTTAAAGTGAATAATTTGGCACCAAGCTCACTATATGGACCATTTATGTATTTATACATGGTGATCATGTCCCCCGTTAATCGTCCGAGAGAACAAATTCAGGTCAGTTAATCTTCCCTCATAGCTGAGCTCCTCCATGCCTCCTATGAGTTTAGTTGTCCTTTGCTGAACTTTCTCCAGTTCCACAACATTCTTTTTGTGAGCTGGTGCCCAAAACTGAACTGCCTATTCCAGATGAGGTCTTACTAATGCTTTGTACAGGGGCAGGATTATGTCTCTATCTCTGGTGTCTATACCCCTTTGCTTTAGAAACAGCGGTTTTATTAGGGATTCATCGATATATATCGGCCGCCGAAAAACATATCGGCCGAAAATGGCACTTTTGGCTGATTTCTTTCCTGAGAGAAAGTGACAGCCGGCCGAGCGCTGCGGGACAAGAGCGCTGTGAGAGGCTGGTGTCTCTCCTCCCACACCGCTCGGCCGTCTATCACAGTGCGGCAGAGCGGTGTGGTGGCGGAGACAGCGCTGTCACAGGAGGCTGGGCTCCCCTCTCGCACCGCTCACTCAGACTCCTGTGACAGTGTGTGTCAGAGAGGAGAGCAGGCTACAAACACTCAGCGATCAGTGAGGATATGGTTAATATATCCTCAATTATGCATGAATGGGAGTGATCTATATCCACTCCTGTTCATTCATAATTGTGGTTGTAGTAAACATACTATATTCTAAAGTTATCAATGTACAGGAACACTCCTAGAGGATTCCTGTTCATTGATAACAGGATTATCAATCTCTTTTTCTCAATCTCTTTTTCTGTTTTAAAAGGGAAATATCAGGGGTCTGTTTAGACCCCTAATATTTCCCCGAAGCCCCTAAAAGTAAAGTAAAAAATAAAAATATTTAATAAAAATTATAAAAATAAAATATTTAAAAAATGTAAAAGAATTCAAATAAAAACATTTTCGGTATCGGGTTCGGCCTGACTATTTTTTCTATTTCGGTTTTTAAGTTTCTATTTCGGTGCATCTCTATCATTTATAAATAGATTAAACAATAAGGGACCCAACACTGAACCTTGGGGGACACCACTAACAACCTCAGACCATTCAGAGTATTAATTATTGATCACCACTCTCTGAATACGGTCTTTAAGCCAGTTTTCTATCCAATTACAGATTGAATACTCTATACCTACTATCCTTAAATTATACATTAGCCGCATGTGGGGAACTGTGTCAAACGCTCTTGCAAAGTCCAAGTATACGATATCCACAGCCATTCCTCTGTCCAATGTATTACTCACTTCCTCATGAAAAAAAACTATATTTTTTTGACAACTTCTGTCTTTTGTGAATCCGTGCTGACTTTCGCTTAAGATATTTTCAAGCAAAAACAATTGCATGTGATCCTTGATCAAACTACACACAATCGTGTATCTCAAGGGCGCATATCAGTCCCTTTCTTGTAGATTGCTGCTAATGCGCCCTTTTCCTCCTCCTCTTCAAGGGCACTTAACGGCCATCTTAGTTGGCCTGCTAATGCGCCCTTTTCCCCCTTACTCAAGGACCAATAGCAGTCATTTTTTATTTGGCCGAGTTACTTGTGGTGCAACCCCTCCTTATCAGCAATCTAGCAGAAATGTCCTGGCCCTTTTTGTCTTCTCTGTCCTCAAGGGCACATAGCATCCATTTATTTTGGGCCTGCGAATGCAAACTTTTCCTCCTCCTCAAAAGGCACAGAGCAGCCACTTGTCTTTCTAATGTGGTTCGTGCACCCTTCTCCTCCTTCTCTTCAGCTAATCACCATATGCCCTCCAACCAGCTATGTAGAGTCGGCTAGAAAAATAATGTTGTTGCTATCCTGGGCCAGTCTACATACCTCAGGAGTGTTGCTGTGGAAAAACACTATCAAACCACCCCCATGCTCAACCTCATTATGCTTCATGGAGGCTGAGGTTCTGGTGGTGAGAAGGAGGGTTGGGGTTCAGGTGGTGAGAAGCATGGTTGGGGTGCAGGCAGAGAGGAGTGTTAGGGTCTGGACACTGCATACTTAATTGGTACAGTTGGGTGCACCAAAGACTGCTTTTTTTTAACAGTATTTTACCAGTATTTCGTATTTTTCATTGTTGTCCTTGGCTGTGAAGCAAACACATGCAGGGATGGCAATGCAACATGGAAACTACCTTTAAAATAAAGTCCTAGGCCTAAACACCTTGACCCTATGCAAGAATTCACAAAATGGGTTACTTGCAAGTTAAGTCCGCCAGCTCAGACAGTGGCCTCGCAGAAGAGATGATGGCTACAAGGAGTTCTCTTGCCATAATCTGCACATGGTTCTCTGATGTAAAACAGCTTTAAAATTTTGTAGTATAGGAACAGACCGCACTATACAGAGAATTCCAATCCTTCAGACTTTATTGAAATTCACAGCAAATCCAGTGTAACAGTGTATGTAACAGCAAATACCAGCATCACAAACCCCCAACCAGCTAAAATCTCTCAAATGTTTCACCCGTAGGTGAGAGGTCTTAGCTGTTTGGGGGTTTGCGGTGTTGGTATTTGCTGTTACATACACTGTTACACTGGATTTGCTTAGAATTTAAATGAAGTCTGAAGTATTAGAATTCTCTGGATAGTGCGGTCTGTTCGTATACTACTACATTCCAAGGCGGAGACGCACCTATTAGACCAGCACCTGGGGAGTCCTGATGGCGGCTAAGGAATTGGAGCGGTGAGATTTCTTTTGGCTCTACAGCTTTTAACTTTTGCCTGAGGTGTATCCCTGGGCTCTTCTGACATTGTGGACAGTACTGATAGCATAATGGAAAAGGTGGGCACTGATGTTTCAAAAAAGTTGGAAATCTCCTTCAAGCCATTAAATCAAAGTATGTATCCAGTGTTAAATTCTGAAAGACAATTGTACAGTGGATCAATAAAAATCAAAGTTGAGGTGAAGGTATTGACATCAAGTAATATCTTCATATCTGCATGCTGAAGAGGATGTGACAATGAATGCTCAAGCAACAAGTGTGGGTCTAAGCACAGCTAAAGAGTGAGCTTGACTCACAGGCTGCGTGATTTATCCTGTCTGTGCTTTATAAACCAGGAGTTGAGTTCCAGCGATGCCTATACCTCCCAGCCCTGGAACATAACATGCTGTGGCAAGAACGAAGAGACCACATGCTAATAGAACCACAGGTAGCATATCTGCTTTACTGATGATCTGTGACACATATTAGGTCTTATTATAAAGAGTGAGAGGCCAACGGTCTTTAAACAAGATAGAATGGGAAGAAACCTGAGCTTTGATAGTGCTGAGTGCCAAACACTGGTCCAGATCCAGCCATTTTCCCCCTCTCCAGTACTATTTTTTTAAGTTTTAATTTCTTTTTACGCCATTGACATATGTGTAAGTAAACACTGTGGGATGGCAAGGCTGTAGGTGAAACACATACTGCTGAATTAAAGGCAGGACAGCTCTTCTCTGCTGCCACAGATGTATATACCAATAAAGTGATCTTGCTGTTGCTTTCAAATAGCACACTTTTAATTCTTTAGCCCAGTATTTGCATACAGATAAAAAGGAAGATTGTTTGCTGGGATTTGTAATAAATGATTTGTCACAATGGAGGAGAATATGTTTAGAAGTTGACTGTGCTAAAATGCAAATGATCCATATACATTAATATGCCTGATAAGCAATGCACGTTAATAGTAATTGTACCACTGTATAGTTGTTTTTCTCACCTTAGAATGCCATTGTGCCTAAAGCTTTCTCGAAGCCCCATCTCGACTGCCACGTGTGCCAAAGACCAGTTGGGATGGCTGCGCAGGAAGTCAGTAAGCTGTTGGACAGTGTCTAGCCGAAGTCCCTGCCTTGCACTTTCATAAAAAGGACGCAACTTGGTTGTGTATTCCTGAAAATTTTGTAGTGCCTCTGCCTCTGAATCCAGCTGAAAGAGGCTAAGAGAAAAACGTACAACATTATAAGCATTTAAAAGTTGCACAGCCTTATTGTTACATTAGGTCAACATTCACATTAGAGCATCTGCATTTTTGGTCCCATTTGTTGTGTTCTTAGACACACATTTTGCACGTTTTCAGGCATGAGCTTTTTTGTTTTAGCCAATAGAAAGCTACTAGCAGCCAACAGAAAGTTACTAGGAGGAGATGGTTGTTAAGCATGAAATTGCATGACAAATGCATGTAAAAAGCTCCTGAGCATTGAGCGACAGCACCCAGGACAGGAGTACCAGGGCCGACACTTTCTGTCCCAAAAAGTGTACGCTTCCATACGTAAATATTCAGTTGAATACTTTGGCAAATGTTGCTACCTTTATCATGAACAATGTGCGTGATGACATCATCGCACATGCGCGGCTATCTGATTGACGCCTGCCGGCGGCCATCTTGGTGATGGGCGCTGGCAGAGAGAGGAGGGGACGTTCACCCGGCAGGATGAGGTATGCCGCCGAGCCCCCTCCTCTCTCCTAACACTGTGGGGCTCTCGGTCCATGACCAATTGCCCGACTTTTTTTAGAGGGGGTCTCCAATGATGTCACCTGGGTGCGGGCCACACCCCCCGCAACCCCTTGTGACGCCACTGTTTGCCATTTGTCACTGAGGTCTCCGGTTCCAATCCAGGTTCAGCCAGGACACTAGCTGCATGGAATTTGCATGTTCTCCCTGTGCTTGTGTGGGTTTTCCCCCATACTTCACAAACTTGCTGGTAGGGTAATTGGCTCCCGTCTTAATTAGTTCTATTATGTATAAATGTAGGGTTAGCTAATCGAGAGCAGGGACTGATGTCAATTAAATAGTATATAGAATGCTGTGCAACTTGATGGAGCTATAAAGAGACATGTAATAAATAAATAAAATACCAGAGAGTGAGCTGTGTATGCTGAAGTACAGTTCCCACTGATGGTGCAGAGAGCGATGTGTGTGTTTGGGGACAGAGCTTTCTAGTCTATTCTCTTCCACTTCACCTCCTGTGTATGCAAAAATATCAGTTATTTCCCTTTCTGTGTATGTAGTCTCTCTTCCTGCATTACACTTCATGTAGGTGCAGGAAATCAAGGAATACACTTTAAGAAGAACCCCAGGGTTTATTAAAACAAAACACTCACAGTGGGGCTAGTTTTGGTCTAGGGACGGAAATATACCCACCTGATCCTTGGTCCCGCCTGGCTGCTAGACTAGTCCCTGCAGCCTCTTCTCCCTCAGGGTCGGGTGGTCTAAGGACCTGTGACGCCATAACGCCTAATGCAGGTATATTAGACGTGAGGACGCCGAGGGACATACCAGGATTGGAGCGAAGGGTAAGAGAGGTGAGTGGTCACTGTCGCAGGAACGAGGATTGGGTGAGTATATCTTCTTTATTTTTAGTCCTTGACCAAAACGAGCAGTGGGGTACCCCTAGTGCAAGAATTAATTTGATTAAATCCTGGAATTTATCTGTAACTCCACTTTCTATGTATGCATTCTATCCTAACGCATTTCACTGCCAATTTCTGCAAGAAATCGCTAACAACTGGAAACATAAGTTCTATGTTTGGATGGTAAAATAGCGGGAAGCAGAATTACATCCGGCAGTTTTGTGGGAGCTCTACAAAACCAGGTTCAGTTTTTCTGTCTGTTTGCTTTACAATGAAACACTACAAGCATCCCAGAACCTGCCTGACACACTTGAAGTTGAACGCTGCCTCTTCTGTAAACACAGCTTCAGAACACCCTGAATCAGGCCAACATTAAAATCAGCATTCTGGTACTGGGAATTGAAGATCCTATGTGTATTGAAGATATCATTTCCACCACATCAGTGCTGCCAAGTTTTACGGCTTTACAGTGTGTGTCTGGGCAAAAAAACTCATTTTTAGTACATACCAGCAATACATGCACAGACCTTCATCATAAAACATTACCCATGTTTTCTTTTTTTTCTGTTAAAATGCAAGATAAATAAGTGAGCGGACAACATTGCCTCCGCTGCACTGAAATCCCAAGCAGCGCTGTCAGTCCTACCCGAGTTCTCCTCTGCTGGACTACAGAAAACACCCCCCTCTCCTCATCTACATAACTTCTCCTTTTCTACATTCTCAACACTCCTTCCCCTCCCTAACAAGCTGTCTGTTGTTTTTTCTCTTGTTCTCCATCTGTTACATGCGGAATACTGGAACTCTGCTGCATTAAAGTGACACTAAATCTTAAAAATGCATTCTAATCCCCTCACTATTAACAACAATGTGTCTTATTTGTGTATCAATCGGCTGTAGATCACCAAATCAACTCTGAATCTGTGATGACACTGTCCTTCCTTCTGGAGGGTGGCAACTTTTGTTCCTCATGGTCCCTGTGTGTGTTGTAAAGTAGCCACCGCTCCAAGCTCACTCCTGTGATAGACTACAATCTCAACACAAATTAGTAAACTAAACGTGAGATTGTAGTCGATCCAGGAGTGAGCTTGGGGTGACTACTTCACAACACACACAAGACCATGGAGAACAAAAGTAGCCACCCTCCAGAAGGAAAGACAATGTCATAACCAATTCAGAGATGATTTGAGGATCCAGTAAAATGAAACCGTTTTATCCTTTAGTTTAGGGGCGCCCACAATTTTTTATCTGGAGATCCACTTTTCAAATGACGAGCTCAATGAGATCTACCAATGCAAAAACACCTGCATTCAGGGTGCGGGATGGAGCGTGGCAGTGCATTGAAGTCAACCGGCCCTCTCTTTCTCTCCTCGCGCTCTCTCCTCTATTTCTCCCCTGTTTCTATCTGCTGTCTCTTCTCTAACTTTCTCTGCTGTCTCTCTCCTGTCTGTCTTTTCTTACCTCCACTGCAGCAGCTTCCAAAGTCTCCTTTCATCTCTCATTCCCGTCTGCGGTGTCTGGCACATTCAGCCGCACGAGCACCGCGGGAGGACAGGCCCCAGTCAGTGAGCCGATCGCGATCTACTGGTAGATCGCGATCTACCTAAAGAGCACCCCTGCTTTAGTTTGTCTTGCTTGACTGTAAGATTTACTGTGAACATGTACAAGCATACACAGATAAAAAGACGAATCAAAGAAGAAACACTATGCAATAGGGATGCACCAATACCGATTTTTCGGTATCGCGTACAAGTACCGATATTTATCTTTCGTTACTCGCCGATACCGAGTACCGATACTGGTGCTTTTGTGTCATTACCCGCCTTCTTGATTGCTTGGGAAGCCGGCTCCATGCTGTTTGGCTGGGAAGCCGGCCTCCCAGCCAATCAGCATGGAGCCAGCTTCCTGGCCGATCAGCATCGGCTTCCCAGCCAATCAGGAAGCCAAGCGGCACGTCATTACCTGCCATCCGGCTTTCTGATTGGCCAGGAAGCCGTCTCCATGTTCCCTCGTGGCACTGCCGGTCAGAGGTCCCTCTGACCAGAAGTTCCAGTATCGGAGCATTTGGGCAAGTATGAGTACTCGCCCAAATACTCGGTATCGGCACCGGTGCATCCCTACTATGCAAGAATCCTTATAATGAATCACATTTAGAATTGTACTGTATTATTAAGTGTTGGTGATAGTTCAAGAGCAGGAAGGTACAAACCGGTAGGCATTTTGTGGCGTCAGTGGGTTAACTAAAAGACAGTCCCATGATCTTGCAGTTCTGCTTTTGTAAAGCAAGAGTCGTCCATCTTCTCTGATTCGAGGGCAACCAACATAGTCCAGAAGGGGTACCTCTCTCACCCTGTAAGGGTTTGTAAACAAGTTGCTCACTGCATTCACAGTGTTGAAGATTCGCCCAAACAGGTCCATGGAAATCACTGATAAAGAAACCAATTATTAGTAGATATTTATTCTATTCTCATAATAGATTTCTAAAAGCCTTATTTGTACACGGCTTTTACCTCTGCCTAAAGAGTATGTATACCCTAACAAGGAACTTCTCTTATTTGTTCCTTTTAGGTTTTAAATATACAGTTGAAGGTGTTTTGTTATAACTGTTGGATACAGATAACGCCATTCAAAAAGATGTGTTCTATTTGTAGGGCATACTTTGAGACCTTTATTTAAAAGATTTATCGGATTTGCTTTAAGCCTGTTTTAAGAAGGATTAAAGATTTGAACTAATTCCTGTGTTTTTATGGATTGTGGGTTTACTTTTTCATAAACTCCAGAGAAACACATTTGATAGGTGTTGGGGTTTTTGTGCCTTTTCAAATCGTTCAAACGCATGGAATTTTGCAAGTAAGCTCACTTGCTTTGGTAGGGCAGCTCCCGAACAAAGCAGGCCTGCCTTTATGGGTATGGCCTCACACTTTTTGCATACATGGCAGGGCATAACCAAACACTAATGCTCATCAGCAAGTCTCAGCACCAGTTCTGATTAGTTTATCCTTTTTAAGGGCAATTTGCTCAAATCTGAAGGTGCCTGGAGAGAGCTTGTCAGCCTGTTGCTGCAACTGTCCTGCTCTTTTCACACAGACCTTTGTTGCTAGAATTCCACCTGCCTTAACCTTGCTGTGATCCTTACATCTCTCTCTGGTTTTAATATTTAGGTCTGGTATACCCTGAAAATGAACTCTGGCTACTTCCCCAACTAAGCCATTGCCTCATCTTTAATTACTGTGGATTCCATTTGATTTTGGCCCCCAACTACATCACAATTGACTCTGTGTACCCTCTGACCCACCCAATACCTTAATGGCTGGGTATGTACATTCTCCTTATATGCATGCATGGTATGGTATGGTACTTCTGTAAGGTATAAAAACAGGATTCTGAAAGCTGAAATTCAGCTTTAAAATACACAAACAATTTTCAGTTATCAGCTTCAAACATTTGGATACTTCAACAAGCTCTTGTGTTTAAACAGGTTCTTGATACCTGAAACAACATAATTAATATATGAATGCTCAAATCATATTTGAAGTGTAACTATCTTTCCGACAGGATATGTAAAAGTTATTTACTGTAACTACTTGTAGCTACTTTAAAACATCTTAACAAAAGCATCAGCTGAGCACTATAGCCTGAGCAGTGCTTGAAACTCAATGTAAAAAATACATGTATACATGTGCCGTTCTTTACCTGCATGGACAAATTAATACGGAATTCAGTATCAGTCTGTCCAATCCGGGAGCCAGCAGAATATTTTTAAAAGCCATCTTCATTGACAACAACTAGAGAAAACTTTAAAAGTAAGGTACTAGGGAATTCTACTGTTCCCCGAATTAAACTTGGTATCCTTCGGGAGCCGAATCTTTAAAAGTATTATCTTGCCGGCCAAATGGTTGTGGTTGACCAGGAATGATGGGGATGCAGCTGTGGAGGCGGCATCCTTGGGATCCTATGCTGCCCTTAGTGGTCTGATATCTCGGGGCGTGGAGGCACCTTATCAGCTCACTAACTCGATGAAAGCCACTGTCGCAGCTTGGGACTCCATCTGCAAAAGTTTATATAATGACGCCTCTTGGTCCCAACATACACCTCTATGGAAGAACTCACGTTTTCTTAATTTTTTTTGGATTTTCAAATTTTGCCAGGCAAGGGTATCAGGACATTGGGGGGATCTGACTTCAGCTAGTTCGCTGAAGAAATGTGAAAATCACTCAGCCTCATAGTTCTAGCTGACCTGTGACAGTTTCATTGTCACAGGTCGGCTCAATAGATCGGGGAGTGAGCGAACACATACCGTCGCTCGCTCACTTCTCGATCCTGTCCCTGCAGAGAGCCGTGACTGTCACTCACGGCTCCCTGCAGGGATTTCCCCCCTCCCCTGTCCGATCCTCTAGCGCTGACTGGCGGAACGGACGGGGGAGGGGGCAGGTACAGCTGGCTCTGCCTCTAGATAGGCAGAGCCAGCTGTCACTCACACACCTGGGTGGATCCCGACAGTAATGTCGGGATCCGTCCAGGCTACGGCTGTAGCTCGCGGTATACTGAGCTTTGGGTGACGGGAGGACGCTAGTGTGTGTCCTTCCGTTACCCTTAGAACTATGGGGAAAAGCCCTGACCCCATAGTTCTCCTTTAAATAATAATTTCCACATATGTGGCTTTTTAAATTGCAATTAGTGCCTGTGTATAAATAGTCAATGAGTTTGTTAGGTCTCACGTGGATGCACTGGGCAGGCTAGATACTGAGCCATGGGGAGCAGAAAAGAACTGTCAGACGACCTGCGTAACAAGGTAACGTTATAAAGATGGAAAAGGAAATAAAAAGATATGCAAACCCTTGAAAATGCCAGTCAGTACTGTTCAATCACCTATTAAGAAGTGGAAAGTTTGGGGATGTCTTGATGCCAAGCCAAGGTCAGGTGCACTATGAAAGATTGCAGCCACAACTGCCAGAAGAATTGTTCGGGATACAAAGAAAAAAACACAGGTAGCCTCAGGAGAAATACAGGCTGCTCTGGAAAAAGGTGGTGGTGGTTTCAAGGAGCACAATACTTGAACAGAAATGAGCTGCATGGTCGATTTGCCAGAAAGAAGCCTATACTGTGCCAATGCCACAAAAAAGCCCGGTTACAATATGCCCAACAACACCTTGATAAGCCTCACAGCTTCTGGCACACTGTAATTTGGAGTGACAACCAACCAAAGTGCTAAAGTTTGGAGAGTGGTCAACAAGCCTATAGCGACAAGAATACCATCCCCACTGTGAAGCATGGTGGTGGCTCACTAATGTTTTAGGGGTGTGTGAGCTCTAAAGGCACAGGGAATATTGTGAAAATTGATGGCAAGATGAATGCAGCATGTTATCAGAAAATACTGGCAGACAATTTGCATTCTTCTGCATAAAAGCTACACATGGGACGCTCTTGGACTTTCACGAGAATGAGCCTAAACACAAGGCCAAGTTGACCCTCCAGTGGTTACAGCAGAAAAAGGAGAAGGCTCTGTAGTGGCCATCACAGTCTCCTGACCTTAATATCATCGAGCCACTCTGAGGAAATCTCAAACATGTGGTTTATACAAGACGACTTTGCATGACCTAGAGGCATTTCAGGAAGTCAGGTGGCAAGTCATTACACACCGCCTGACATCCTTAATGGGACTTCCGGTATCGATATTGGCGAGTACCGATAAAGAATATCAGTACTCGTAGTCTATACCAAAAAAACGGTACCTGTGCATCCCTACAGATAATACCACTTCCAATTAATTTAAGTATCTCTATTTGCCTACTGGGTCTGACAGAGGAGATCGCTCCCACGAATGCTCTTCGAATGTTGCTTGGAGTGTTGAAAATGGTGGTCCAGCGTGGGGGGAAAAAGAGAGCCTCCTACGTTGATGGATTGATATGTAGGCGTTGTGCCAATAAATTTTTCAGAGGTCCGATATTGTTCTATGTACAATCCTTGTTTTATTGATTGCATGCAATAATCTACTTTTTTGAGGTTGTGGATTTGGGGTTCTTGGGGTTTTCATGAGCTGTAAGCCATAATCATCACAATTATGACAAATCACGCCTTGAATTATCTTGCTTTGCATGCAATGAGTCTATCTCGTATATTAGTTTCACCTTTTAAGTTGCATTAGTGAAATAAATGAACTTTGCACGATATTCTAATTATTCGAATTTCACCTGTATTATATCTGGCACGTTCAGTTACTTACTACAACTACTTGTGCATTACTGGAACTTTAAACTAAGGGCAATAGCATATTATTTAAAGGGTAAGTCCAGTTTCCCAGGCGAATTTGGGAAAATGGAATTACCCCCACCAATCTGCCCCCCTGCTGCCCTTACATAGCAATGATCGCTCCTTCTCCTCCACGCTACCGGCGTAATATCCATACTCTGTACATGGGATTGCAGTCCTGCAGTATGCATTTCAAAGTTTGCTTGCAAATGAAATACCAAAGGGCTGCAATCCCGTCTACAGAGTACGGATATTACACCGTCAGTCCTGGAAGGGAAGGGGCAATCATTGACAGATAAGAGCAGGGGGAGGGGGGTGAAAGTTGGCAGATCAGAGGGGATAAACTATTATATTTGGTCACATAATAAACACCTATGCTAGCAGATGTAGTCATTTAATTGCTGATTTTCTATCAAAAGAGTGTGAGACCACCTGTGTGCTTCTGTTGCAACAGCTTTTTGAGGTGGGTTTTTGATGTGTTTCATGGTGTGTTCACATTTGTTTGCAAAGCCCTTATAACATACATCAATGTATATTTATGTCAACAGCATGTCAACACGCTGCATATACGTGAACCAGTAATGTTAAAGCCCAACACCGGGCACAATAGTCTTACTTGAGTACAGTAAAATGTACAGTGCTTTTTCTTAAACCCCATCTGCCACATCCAGTACTGGCTTCTTCTCACCACAAAACATCAGCTATACATGCGGGTGAAAGACCAGCTTCCGCTGACCTTCCATGCCCACTCAGGCTGTAGCGCTACAGGTCTCATAGACCTTAGTACTGCTGTCACATCTGTTCTCCTCTCCTCCTGGCGAATCACAAAATGGAGCCTGGGGCCCATTGGTTTTGACTGGCCAGGATGAGAGAGGGTAAAGATGTGACCGCAGCACTGAGGCCTATGAGACCTGTAATGCTAAAACCTGAGCGGACATGGAAGGGCTTCCACCCACATGTATAGCTGATGTTTCAATGAGAAGAAGCCAGTGCTGAATATGGTAGGAGGGTTGGTTTTTTTTAGAAAAAGGCACTGTACATCTTACTGTGCTCCAGTAGGATTATTGTGCCCAGAGTTGGGCTTACAAAAATGATAGAAAACCTCTGCCTATGCGTTAATCCACCAACAACCTCACTTTCTAGGTTTGTGTCAAACATGACTGTTCAGACGAGAAGG